CGTCACGTAAGTTCCACAGGTCAATATTCCGAGAAAAGTAGCACTGTAGTCCAGCATTGTACTTCCCAGGCACTGTAGCGCTGTATTTTCCAACGCATTCCAGAAGAAAATCAATGACGGCCATCATCGACTCCAGCATGCCGTCCCATGTCCAGAGCTCTGGCGCACGTCGCTCGCAGACCCACATCATCGCCGTCTTCAGCTCGTAGCTGTTCAGGTCACTTCCCGTCACTTTAGCGCAGTGTTTGAGCAGGACCAGACAGATTCGCTGGGGCTTGGTCATAGAACGGATCACCTCCGACTCGAGACCCGAAAATGATATGCGAAATATGCCATCTTTTCCAACCACGTTGATTGCCATTGTACTCAGCTTCCTCACCAAGGCCTCGCTCGGCTGTCCCGATGGTCGTTCTCGGTTTACGAACTCGTCACTGACCATCTCGGGGTACTCAAAACAGGGGACGAGATCAATGCTGTCATCATTGAGGGTTACTTCAATGTTCGGTCCGTCATTGTCTTCGATGCCCTCCACATGTCCTCGCAAAGCTGCGGCTGTATGTGATTTGAGATAATCGAATGTTAATGTACGTCCGACAGAGGAACCGCCCTTCCGCCGGACAGCCCGAGTGATGTTCATGAAGCCCGGCTTATCTGTGAAGTGAAGGTTCAAAATGTTGTCGGAGCTGCCTAATCCTGTGCTGCCTGTCCTATTTGAATTATGGTGCACAGTGTCTGAACCATACCGCTTTGATTCGGAGCCCATCTGCTCTTGATCAGAGGACTCACTGAAACGTGACGTACTCTCTGAAGCGTCAGAGCTGCCTGAGTCCCTCAGCGGTCCTTTAAGCCATTGCACGGGACCAGTTAGAAGCATGAAGTCAATGTCAGATGCTTGTTTGAATGTGTCAGCAGCTGATGCGTCATCCCTTGGTTTTCGTTTCTTTGTCGCTATTAGTTCATTTTTCTTATGAATCCAGTGCGGCATAGCAAATCCGTCGCCACTCACCCACTCAAACGCTTGAACTGTTTCATATTCATATTGATCATACTTGGCGATATGCACCTCCGTTGCCTCACTCACGCTTCCCGAAACAAACATATCCTGGATCACGAGTTTGCTTCCATTGGCTTCTCCGTTCTCCTTCCCGCAGTTTGACAGGTGCTCTTTTTCGTTTCCAGCAAGTTCTTCTTCACACTGTAGGTTGAATTCAAAGTCACGTAAGGCGTCTTCAAATCGTTGCTTGTAATCATGCGCCCGATGTCTGCTGCGTGACTTGGAGAGGAGTTGTTCCCTCCATCGTAGGACTCGTCCTGCAGCTGAGGCCATTTCGGCCGGTGACAGAGGAGGATCCATTGCTCTCCGGATTCCATCAATCTCGGGGGTACCCGTGCAGCTCATTCGGGGTTCTTCTCCGGTGTCTCTGGGTTGCTCCTCTTTGGTTCTGTCATCAGGTGAGTAGACCATGACCTTCTGCTTCACAGCAGGCTTCCTACTATCTGGGACGTCCCGCGTCATGGGCCCTAATTGGTGACTTATTTCTCTTTCATGATCGGAGTGTGTCTTGATGATATTGTTTGTATCGACTCTCCATCGAATCAGCTTTAAAAGGCTGATCATTTTTTCAGCCTTGGTGACAAACGGGCTTGTATAGACACCCATACCAATGACAATATTCTTGCTAAGCTCTAGAAGCTTTTCCCCGGTAACTTCATCCTTTGGTTGATCTTGTTCATCTGTTTGAGCAGGCCGTCCAGCTAGACTTCCGTTGCAGTCCATACGAACACGCTCCACCTTCATTCTTTGGGCAGTTCTGGCTGCATTGACGGATGTGTAGCAGTCAGCTTTATCATCTAACCTATTTAAGATATGGAATAAGGCCCAAAACCTGGAATCAATACGTTGCCTGTGTGTTTTCTGCAGCACCAGCTCGTGTTTCAGGTCTTCCTTGTCCACGGTGTCCTCGCCAGTGGACGTGTTGCACTCGGCCTCCCCCGGCTCACCTCCGTTCAGCAGGTCCCGGTACAGTGCCAGAACACACGCCTCTTCACTCGGCAGCACACCTCCGCCCAGCGCGCTTCTGTATGTTTCTCTGGTGGTTCTTTCTTCATAGGGTCTCCACTCCTCAAGATGCGGGTAGGCCCTGGAGCGCGCCAGCGCCGCCCGCGCGGCCGCCATCTCAGCAGGATCATCGTCCGCTGCTTCCAGCACTCGCGTCAGAGTCGCTATACGCTCATCGAGACTGGCGATTAGCGCCTCACGACACAGGGAACAATTTTCAGACTCAGCGAACACATCGTCCCAGGAGCCTTCCATCTCGGGTCTGTCGGACTGCGGTAGCGCCTGCAGGGCGGCAGCAAGCGCCGCAGCCGGCATGGCGTACTGCTCGGCATCCGGCGAGACAGCCATGGCGGCGTCCGCCGCGGCAGCCGGTACTTCTCCGCTCAAATCTGTCTGATGGTTCTGCGACCGCCTCGTCATGGCCAGGATCTTGCGAATGTTTTTTTCTTCTTCCCGTTTTATATCTCGAAGCCTCTTTGAATCACTCTGCCCATTTCCCATGGCGTCTTCGGACAAGGTGATACCGTCGGTAGCTGTCTGAACAGATAAGTCCCCTGACTGAACCGACAGTCGCCTGTAAAGCGGTGTACAGAGTTGGGGCAACAACACCTGTGCTAACCGTCGACCTCCGTACTGCAATCAGGACATTGTCTCACTTTATGTACACAGTGTCAGTATTTCTATACTTGCATCCCTACCTGAAGTTTACGTGGTTGCCTCCAAACTTCAGTTATAATGCACTCTGTGGCCACTGTCTGCAGTCAGTGCCTCAAATCTCTAGCTTCTAGAAAGTAGCTCCGGTTCCAGGAAGTACTTATATCTAGTCTTCAGTAAGTGCCTCTAAACTGCAGATTCCAGAAGTACCTCCAAACTCCATTAAGCATCTCCAGTCTTCAATAAGTACCTCCAGTCTCCAGTAAATACCTTCAATCTCCAGCAAGTACCGCCAATCTCCAGTCCTCAGTAAGTTCCTCCAGTCTCCTGCGAGTAACTCCAGTTTCGTCGCTACCTGCAGTCACTTAACTGTACATGGGGACTTGTCGTCTCTTGACGAACCTGCCGCACCAACTGCGTCTCACTTGGCTCCGCCTCACCTTAATACGACTACCGGCGTTATCCTATCAAACACTACCAATGGCTGCCGAGGCTGATAACGGGTGGACAAATAGGGAAACTGCACCACTCGTACAGCACTATGAGGCTCGGCATAGGCGGTGGAACGGGGAGGGCACCGGGGCACCGTGCCCCCCTTTGATTTTGGCATTTTAACATTAGCGCTATGGGCGTTGCATGAAAAGAATGGGACCAAAAGTCGGCAGTGCCCCCCTTTAATTGAGGGCGTTCCGTCGCTACGTGGGCGACTTGCTAGTGCAACGGAGCTGTTTGTGCAAGTTGCAAAGGGAACATAATTATATGGTTTGACGTGCAGGGGTGTTGAAAAAAACACACACGTTTTGTTTCCGTATTCTATGAGAATGACCGCTTTCAGCGTGACGAGCATAGTATGAGCATTGAGCAAATAGGATACCTATATATGTATATGCTACCTTATACCTATACTTGTTTGAGTTGTTTTGATATACCTACATAGTCAGTATTTATGAATTTAGTATGAACTAAATTCAAGGTTCAAGCCTTGGAAATAGTAGTACGGTAATAAAAAAAAATCCAAGGAAACCATTTTATTTTTCATGGTATTGTCAGTCCAATGGCGTTCACGCTATGCCACTAGCTCTGTTCTGTGATTTTATATTATTTTCGAACAAATGCCGTTTTCGGTCGAAAACGCTGAAATCATGACGTCACTAAAACTTCGATATCTCATAAATTTTCGGAACTTTTTTTTTTGTTTCGTCACAACAAACCTCGATCAATTTCCTACAGGTGGTTTTTATCTTTAACCCGCGAGTTGCTGGGGAGGCGTTAAACGCCCCCACTTTTTTTCGCCGCGCTATAGCATAAAACCAAAATTTAGGTACCTGTAGGAAATTGATTGACGTTTATTGTGACAAAGTTTCAAAAAAACCGGTCAGAATTTTTTTGAGGTATCGAGGTTTTAGTGACGTCATGATTTCTGAGTTTTCGACCAAAAACGGCACATGTTCAAAAAATCAAATAATATCACAGAACAGACATACAGACATGCCGTAAACGCCATTAGACTGCCAATACCATGAACACTCAAATAGCTATCTTCGATTTTTGATTATCGTTCCGCATTTTCCAAAATCTTGAATTAAATCTTGGCAATTTCTCGTGACTACTTCACGACCGTGATACATGCATTTGTTAAATTGAACTTTTTGAACCGAACCCGTACAGATATGATAAGATGAATGTCACCATCGTGTTCTACGCCCAAAATTACCCATAAAACATGTGTCACGGGCTGCGACTATCAGTATTGATTTTCGGGGATATGTGCCTACCTGGTTCACCTGACCTTGACCCTGACCTATGCTTGACTGACCCCTACATGGATCTGACACTCTTGTAGGCCTTATATGAAGGATTGTGCGCCGTTTTGACAGAGTTTATGACGAGAGGCGCCCATTGCGAGGTTTTGAAGTCCATGCTACTGAAAGCCCGATTTCAGGTGTTTGACCTGGCCTTTACCCGACCTGTGACCTCAAAATTCAACTTATAAAATACTCATCGAAAGCGTCTCGTCGCGTTCCTTCGTCTGTCGCCTCTGGTTCTCGAGTTGTCGGCTGGGGGCGTTTAACGCCCCCCCCCCCCCCCCAGCAAACGGCGGGTGGCGAAATACCCCAGCAACTGCCGGGTTAACGTGGCGAAAAAGTGGGGGTGTTTAACGCCCCCAGCAACTCGCGAGTTAAACATTCATGACGATCTAGTCTTCCGACTTTCTGAATATATAACCCGAATGTGTACATCGGTCTCACTGAAGATTAACCCAACTTGTCTCTGTTTCCCCGCGCAGCTACCAGCAGGGCCCGGACACGTACCTCCTTCAGTTGCGGGACACCGGCCTGCCGGCCCGTCTCCGGGAGTACATGAAGGTGGCCGCCGAAAGGTCGCCCTCGTACGCCCGCCGCGGCAGGGAGGACCCCATCTTCGACCGCACGGTCAGTCAGAGACGCAGGCCTGGAAGAACAGGGCGAGAGTTAGTGTGAATGCTATTACCGATAGATTACAGAAATGCACATGATACTTCGTCTGCATGTATAATTATACATGCAGACGTATACATTCTAATGTACAATGTAAAAGAATATACATTATAAAATATATTCTACTGCCAACGAAGCGAAATACTTCTGTATTTTTGACAAGGCACGGGTCTAATTTTACCAGCATCCAAGATCTTTCTACAATTTAATTTTCATTAACCATTTCATTGTCATTGAAGATTGGTGTCACAGTGAGATCATCTTTTAATTCTCCAGCAACGTATCCAGCTACATAAGTCTACGGCTCTTCGAAAATGATGAGCTCTAAAAGGAAGCTGTGTTCATATAATCTACATCACTGAGGAGATCTGGTTCCGTTTCTCCCCACTGACCCCTCTGCCTGTCTGTCTCAGCTACCGGTCGTGCACGAGCGGCGTCGTTTCACCGACATCATGGACGAGGAGATAGACGACGAGCGTAAGACGCGCATCAGCCGGTACGACGCCGAGGCGCGCCAGCACGTGCCGCGTCGACTGCGGTACGAGCTGGGAACGCGGGCCGACGCCGTGGTCGAGGCTGAGACGCTGCTCGAGTCCAAACGCCAGGGACAGGTGGGTTGATGGGAGGGGAGGGAGAGGGAGGAAACGGCTCTCCCCTTTCTCTTCCAGGCGGAGGAGAACTGGGAGACGGGAAAAAGTCGCGGCTGGGTGGTTATAGAAAATTATTAGTGCATGAGGCTGATGCGCAAAATTTTCGTTGGCAACATCTACCTCTTTCGGTAAAAATAAAGCAGATGTACTAGCAATGTGTTATTTTTGCAAGGCGGTTATTCATATGCACTGAACAACAATTGTCATAAGCTCAACAAGATCCCATGTTATGTTCTCATACATGAAATCAGCCTTAGCAACGTCATAACCACAAGTTTCCGCCGCACAGTTCCCGTTCTTCCGTGAGAAGCCTCGCGACACGGCCATTCAGCACAACCAGCCTTGTGAGCTGTCCTGTATGGCGGTGGGGGAGCCGCGGCCCATCGTACAGTGGTTCAGGTCAGTCAAAACGCTACAGCAGCATACCTTTGTAAAGAGCTGGAATAACTTCTACATAAGCTCTATTCGATAAGTCTGATAAGCACTATAAATTTTATTTTCTTGCTCCTCTATCTTTTACATCTATCATCTCATCTACCTATTATCTCTACATCTATTATCTCTATCTTTTATCTTTTTGGGATGTGTTCAACATGACATATGATCTACGTACATAGATCGTACGTAGATCATATGTACGTAGATCATATGTCATGTTGATCACATCCCATGTTGCGTAATTGAGGTAACTGAATTGTTATTATTGTGCGCGGCTATGTGCGTACGTTAAACTTGAGAATCCAAATTTTGCCATAGATCAGGAATTGCGCGGTCGGAGAGTAGAGGGCAGGGCCAACGCAACAAGCTCTGCTTAGCGGGGGCTCTGTCCTTGTGAATCCTTCCATTCAAAAGGTTCGGACCAAATTCATAAAAAAATATACATCAATGCACTATGTTTTAATTGATACCAATGTACCATTATAAATTGACAATAAACGAAGCAAAAACTGGCGTCATCGTCCCGAGTCCAATTATTGATCACCCAGTCCTGACATCACTGCTGTTCCAATAGGAACGACATCGTCATCAGCGAGTCCAAGCGCATCAAGATCATTGAAGAGGACGACGGTCGGTCTCGCCTTCAACTCCAGCCGGCCTCTGACTTTGACCAGGGCGTCTACAAAGTCGTGGCTCGTAACAGTGTCGGCCAGACGGTCACCAAGTGTCGCCTGTTCATGGGCTCCGAGCCCGGCCTGCCGGAGATGCCGGAGCCCGTGGAACACTCTGACACGGAGGTGATGCTGCGCTGGAAGATTCCCCAGGACAGCGGACACACGCCCATCCTGGCCTACGGGCTGCAGATGAAGCCGACAAGTGAGTGCGACGGGGAGGAACGAGGATAAAAGGGGAGAGACGGAATGCCTGCCAGCTGTGGTAAAACCGCTAGTGGTAGCATGGGCGTCGCCACCACTACGAACACTACGGACAGTGTCCGTACAAGTTTTAGGAGGCCCCAAAACTTGTACGGAATGTCCGTACAAGTTGAGGCAGGGAAAAAACTTTTTTTTATTCAATAAAGAAAGTTTTAAACATAGCGAAAGTTTTGACAAATATCGTTTGAACTCCCGGAATAGTTTTCTGAATTTCTCGTTTTAGTGACAAAACTTCAAGTGCTTTCTCATTTGCAGCAGATTTTCCTGGAAAACAGACCGTTCATACCAATGACATTTCTTTATTTTGATGATGTCGCAAATACCATGATTTCAATTAACCCGCGCCCGGCTGGGGGTCCTGGATTTCCACGCCCTGCTGGGGGGGGGGGGGGTGTTTGAACACCCCCCCCTTCTAACTCGGCTCCTGAGCCACGTAGCGATACGCGGAAGGCGGCGTTCGAAAGAACGTAAAAAATAATGAGGAAATCACTTCGGTCAATTTTTTGGTCAGGTCAAAGGTCAGGTCACCAGAGGTCATTGAAGGCAAAATTTCGCCGATTTCCAGGTCGAATGTCAAAAGTTTCCAAGAAGCCAACGCATAACTCGGGAACCAATAGAGCTACAGCGCCGCGGAAAAGCGCATTCGATAGCCCTATTAACGCCCTTTCTGAGTAATTGTCTCAGATTTGACCTAGCGTCAACGGTTTTGCCTGCAGGGGGCAAAAACTGCAAAAATAGCCGATTTTTTTCGGAAACAGTTTTTCTGCAATAACTTTTGACCCAAGCATTGTACGAGCTTACTTTTACCGGCATCGTGTTCCTCTCGTCAAGACGCATCGAATGAACTAAAATTTGACCTTGAAAGGTCAACTTGAAAATTTGACCTCAGGTCAAGGTCATGACCTGACCGGAAAGGGTCATGTTGCATATCAGTCGATCCGTATCGTCGAGCTGAACACAGCTAAGGCGTTTTTATCGCTCTAGCATGCCTCTATCAAAAGTTATTTGCGAAAAACTGTTAGATACCATTCGTGACCTAAGATGACCTCAGGGCATAAACAGAGGTCACGGACACCATTTCCATGTTCAGTGTGTCTAAACCACTTGTAATTCAGTGTTTGGGAGTGTTTATAATGTCTTTCGTCCAAAAGAGGCGCATTTCAATTTTCTCCCATTGACTTATAATGGGGAGGTCGCAAAATTGACCTGACCTTAGGTCATCGATATCAAAATTCTGAGATATACATTTTGTACATGCTATTGCTCTTAGCAATCGCTGAATGTTTCAAAGCGATCGGTCACTCGGTGTAGCTATGACAGACATTGAAACTTTTTATGAGGTGAGGTCACTTCAAGTGACCTGGTGACCTGACCTTGAATGACCTTGGTCTGAAATTTTCACAACATGTGTAGAATTGATGTATGATAAGGTGTACCAAAAACGGCGGCGCTCCGCGCCGCCGTTTTTGAGATATTTGCGAAAAACCTCAAGGGGGGTGTTCAAACACCCCCCCCCAGCAGGGCGCGGGTTAACAGTAAGTTGATATTGATTCATCTAGCGATTCTGGTATAACTGTGGTACCCAATCATCACACAGTATTAACCCTCGCCCGTATAGGGGGGGGGGAGTCGAACGGACCCCCCTCGGTTTTTCGCAAATAACTCGCGTAAAAAGCGGCCGATCGCGACGAAACTTTCAGCACCGTCGAGTTGATCACTTTTACACCTACCCTAAAAATTTCATGACCCTGACCCTAATGACCTTTGACCTGTGACCTACTTTTCGAGACCATGTTTGGCCGGAATCGCGATTCGACGTATGTCGGCTCGCATTAGCCGCGCGTTTGCAGTCTTTTCGTGGATTTAAGCGTTCAAACATGTGATAAGATGGTGGTCCAATGCCTTAGGGTGGGTGTCAAGGTTACCTGAAGGTCAGGTCAGGTCATTGATCTTTGATGACCTCGGTTCACTTTTCGAGTTTTACATGTTTCTAAGCTAGTTTTTAGAGCTGTATTCGAATTCAGCAACCATTTGAACATTTACGAAGTAGTTTTGGTGCCTTCGTAACACGTTACGAAGCTGTCAGAGGTGGTTGACACCTACTACGAATACCCGGCAGGACCCCTACTGGTTGACCTGACCTGACCAGACCAGACCTGGCCTAAATGCATGAAGACATCACCTGTGATCCAAACTAACATGATATTCGTGATCAGCACCCCGAAAAACCCCACAGAAGCGACACTTTACGACGTTCTAACTTCTAACAGGTCCCGATTTTCCCGACTTTTGGGACATTGACCTGACCTGGAAGGTCAACCAATGACCCAAGTCTGGACCCTAAAATTGGGTATAATCGGCTTCCTCTCGTCACGGGCAATACGCTCGTTTTTTCCGCGAAGCTCTAGGTCGATCAGGGGCTAAACGGCAAGGGGGACCCCCCCCTTTATACGTTCGCGGAGCCGCGAATAAATGGCTAAGACAATGTCGACGTTCAGATCCTTCGAGGGCATCAATTGTCGACTTTGCTCGATTATTCTCAGTCAGAAAATATATGATATGAAACGTTCTAACTCTACCTTGCTCGAACCTCAGGAGGTAAGAAGCACATGCAAACAAGTGATGTCTCCCTCATAGCTATAACGGGAGTAAGATTCTTTCAGAAAAACGAACTACAGAAAAACAGAAAAACGGGAGTAATTCGTTATATTTGAACTTCGATAAACAGTTAAGTATTCATGAAGGGCTGAAATCGTAAAAAAATACCGACTTAACCCGCGCCGTGCTGGGGGGGGGGGGGTTACGCCCCCCCCCCCTCAGGTTTTTCGCGAATATCTCAAAAACGGCGGCGGCGGCCGTTTTTGGTACACCTGTCCAGTGTTCATACATCATTTCCGCACATGTTGTGAAAATTTCAGACCCGGGTCGTTCAAGGTCAGGTCACCAGGTCACGTCAAGTGACCTTACCTCAGAAAAAGTTCAAAGGCTTGTTATAGCTACACCGACTGAACGACCACTTTGAAACTTTCAGCGATTGATATGAGTAACAGTATGTATAAAATGTTTATATCGGATTTCTTATATCTGTGACCTAAGTTCAGGTCAATTTTGCGACCTCTCCATTATAAGTCAATGGGAGAAAATTGAAATGCGCCTCTTTTAGACGAAGGTCGTTCAAAACGCTCTCAAACATCGGTTCATAGGTAAACACGACACACTGAATTGGAAAAATGCGCCTGTGACCCCTCTGTATGCCCCTGAGGTCATCTCAGGTCATGAACGGTCACCAGCAGTTTTTTGGCTATAACTTTTGATAGAGGCGTGCTATAGCGGTGAAAACACGTCAGATGTGTTCAGCTCGATGATACGGATCGAATGATATGCAACATGACCTTTTTCGGTCAGGTCATGACCTTGACCTGATGTCAAATTGAAAAATGACCTTTCAAGGTCAACAAATAGTTCATTCGACGCGTCTCGACGAGAGGAACACGATGCTGGCAAAAGTAATGTCGTGGCTCTCTTGAGTCAAAAGTTATTGCCGAAAAACATTTGTCGTGAAAACGGCTATTTTTACAGTGTTTGCCCTCTAGAGGCTAAACCGTTGAACTGATGTCAAATCTGAGAACATTATTCAGAAAGGTCTGTAAAAGGGTTATCGAATGCGCTTTTCTGCGGCGCTGTAGCCCTATTGGTTCTCGAGTTGGCAGTTGGCAGTTTCCAAAATTATTGAAATGGACTCAATTTGACCTTCGATGACCTCTGGTGACCTGACCTTTGACCTGACCTTAAAATGACCGAAGTGTTTTCTTCCTTATTTTTGACGCTCTTTCGATTGCCGCTTACCGCGTGTCGATACGTGGTCCGGGAACCGAGTTAGACGGGAGGCGTGAAAACGCCACCCCCCCCCCCCCCCCAGCACTCGGCGGAAAGTTCAGGCCACCAGCACGGCGCGGGTTAAAAGAAAAGGTGTAGCGGGTCCAAAAACTATGGTTTCTTTCATTCTGGACTGAATGCGATTCAGAAGCCAAGCAGTACATCATTATATCGCACATGATATCTATGTTGTATTTGAGAGATTCAGCCCTGCCCCCAGTGAAAATTTCTAAGACGAGGTCCTGCCACTTAAAACACAAACGCTCAACTCGGAGAAGTATGATTATTAGTGTCTGGTGGAGCAATGTGAGGAGGCTACAAACTAATGTTAAAACATGGGTCGGATGGCCCATATTATTTTTTTCTTCTATTTTTTCAATAAAAAAAAACATAGTGCCAGGGCTGTGATGAAAAATAAGTGGTCTAAATCCGGCGAGAAAACAGGATTTGGGGGTACCCTATTTTTGGGTCCTAGAGACTAGGTCCTGACTGACTGTCCGTACAAGTTTGGAAGGCGTGGCGACGCCCCTGAGTGGTAGGGATAGGTCTGAAATGCATGACGTATGTTGGGGCAAAAAATATGCTGAAAAAAGACTGATAACTTCTGATACATACTGCTATATTATTGAGCATGAAAAAGTTCACTTCGTGGTGAGCACCTTAATAATATGCACAATTTATCGCCCTATGTATACACATATGATCAGACTGATTGTACCGGCCTTTTTTCCGCAGTGGACCACGAGTGGCAGGACGTGGCTAACAACATCGACCACGAGTTCTTCTGCGTGCGCGGTCTGAAGCCCGAGACCAACTACCACTTCCGACTGAGGGCGCTCAACAAGTTCGGCTGGGGCGGCTACAGCGTGCCCAGCCCCACCGTGCGCACCAGGAAACTCGGTGAGATGAATAAACTATTCATAAATAGCGCACACTGACACACAAACACTGAGTAAAACAAACCATCACTGGACTGCCTTTCTGCTATAATGAATTCCACAGTTCGCAATCGGTACCTATGTAAAATGTATGCTAACATTGTGTTATGTGCATTGGTTGCTAGCGTTATAGCTCTCCCTTTCGCGCAGGCTGGGAGAAGCCAGTGATGGTGACCAAGGCTGAGAAGTACCTGCAGCAGATGACGGAGACGGGCCGCGAGCCGGAGAACCCGGAGGCGCGCGTCACCCTGGACTACTCGGCCGAGGAGACGCCGGTGGAGCTGACCGAGGGATCGCCCCAGCAGAAGTACAGCTTCCTCGCAGAGATCAGCCGGTTAGTGCAGGTTCCTCGTGAGTGCAGCTTTCTTTGTCTTCAGATGAACCACACAATCCTAATCTGACTTCAAACTCGATCTTTCGGCTGACCCTTTCTCCTTCGTTAGACACGCTGTTTTCCCGAATTCACTAGGCTGTTTCTCGTCTCAGATCTACCAGCTTCCTCACTCAGCCATAGTCGTCTTTCATAGCCTACTAACACGTCGTTCTTCTAGTTGACCCTCAATTCCTCTCTCACAGAGGCCGATTCTCCCTGGTCGCCAAGTGCGTCGAGAAGGACACGGACACGGTGCGTGCCGCCAAGATTATCGAGGCCGGTGAGGAGAACCGGGACCTGGCGGCGGCAGAGTACCGCGCAATCAGGAGTCTCCGCCACGAGCGGATCGCCGCGCTCTACGACGCTTTCAAGTGAGTGGACTGGCGACGGGTGTAGTAGGATGAATAGTGAACACCGTGCGAATAGTTTGTGAGGGCCTGTGTATCGATGATTTCGGCCACCGTAACGTAGCGCATAATCTCTCAATAATATCTTATAAGCAATCTCCCCCATAGTCCCTGACAGTAAATGTTCCTCCATTTCTCCCCTAATAGCTTGCCGATTCAGCTAATCGAAGTAATATCAATATGTCCCGACACGATAATACGCTGGCCGTTTACATCTCCCGTGTAAATGAAGTCGGCAATGAACGCCCTTCCTTTCAAGTGCCAAACCTTCACTGACTGGCCCGTCCTCCCGCAGGATGGGCACGCAGTATGTGCTGATCCTGGAGAAGCTGCAGGGTCTCGACATCCTGACGTACTTCCAGCTACGGCACGAGTACAACGAGAACATGGTCGCTACCGTGGTCACCCAGGTAAGTTCGGCTGAAGAGATTTTACAGGCTTTCAACAACTTGGGTCAGTCAAAGCTATAGTTCGTTTTTTTTTCAAAAGGACGCTGGCTCAAAGTTCAATATCGAAGCTCTCACGTGAGTTTTGGCTGCTTCAGAGTCTGGCCAAGAATTTCTTACCGAAAAAAATAATCGATTTCAAATTGTGCACGGTAAGTAGCTGGAAATTGTTTCATAAAAATGAACATACTATGATGACGCCACTGGTGGCAGCAGGCATCCAAATGACCGTGCAATGGGACAAGTGTCAACGAATTTGGGTGGAACTTGGTTTTTACTGTTGCCGAGCTTGTAATCGAGTAAGCGGTTCCGTGCATGATAGTTATAAGTTACATTGCAATTTGCAATACATGTTCAACAGCATGACGTCACCACTGTTCTCATATCTGGTTCCAAAATGCACATATGGAAATTATCGGGAAGAAATCACATGTTAAAATTAGTCGACGTTCGATTTTCTCAGGTTCAGTTTTTGCTCGTTTTGCTCGCTAAAACACGTGCTTGTTCGAAAAACATACTTGGAGCCAGCGTCCTTTTGAAAAAAAAAAAAAACGAAGTATAACAACATTGATATAAGAATAACCAGTAACCTCATAATATAGATCAGAAATAGGAGGCAAAAAGTTATATTTAAAATTATCGAATATTTCGCTCCTGGAGCTTCGTCAGCGATAATTACAGAAAAACATATACGTTTTAAACATGGAACAACAAAGAACACTGCAGAATAAATAGCAAACTCATGCTACACTTCGCAAGGGACCGACATTTTTGGTGAAGTTCGAATAGGTACAATATGAATGCATGTATATAGTGTACGTATTTACAATATACACGTTTATAGGTACAATAAACAATAGCTTTACATATAAACATAATCGACTACATGTGCATACATTACACATAATATCATCAATTATTCAATTATTCACATGTGATTGTTATTATGTACACTTCACACTATATGTACCCAGAAAAGTTTATGACGCATTTACATTTTGAATGATGTTCTCTTTATGATTATACAATATATACATATATATCATATACTACACATATACACAGAGGAAGCATTATACAGATATATACAGATGTTGCATGTACAATGCTTACATATATTTACATATATCTATGAGTCATATATCATCTATGTACAAGTGTCACGTACAGTATATATACAGTATACAGTACAGTATATATATATATATATATATATATATATATATATATATATATATATATATATATATATATATGTATGTATGTCTAAGGCTGCAGCCGTGTCAGCGGCCACGAGGTAGTCTGGGTGTTAAGTGTAGGTCTCTGGTCTCTGATGTACATGGACTCTTTTATTTTTCTGTCCGGACCATCCTTGGCGCGAGCCAGAATGCTCAGTTTAAGGTTGTTGCATGTCAGAGGGGTGTGTAGGTGTTGGTTTTGGTGAGAGCCAAACGGTGTGTCTATGCGTTTGTTGCGTGCATCTCCAAGGTGTTCATTAAATCGTTTCCTTATCGAGCGTCTGCTTTCACCGATGTAAAAGGACTGGCCCTCGGGGCACAAAGAACAATCAATCCTGTAGATGGTGTTTTTGAAGTGGCACTTCCCTGCAAGCCCTGCACAGCATGTGTTGCAGCGCCTGCCTCCACCTGGACAGGCAGGAGGACTGAAGGCTGATTTAATCAGCTTCTGGCCGACAGTCTCGCCGCCTTTCCAGGCCACCTGAAAGGCAATTTCACTGCGCCTCACGATGCCTTGCACTATGTGGCACAATTGATCGTCCACGAATGGCAGAACGAGTGGGGTTTTGTAGGCTCTTACCTGATCGTGCTGACCTCGTGTGCCTGTGTCTGTCCTGTTATGTGTTTTGGTGGCCTCCTGCCGTGGATTCGTGGACGATCAATTGTGCCACATAGTGCAAGGCATCGTGAGGCGCAGTGAAATTGCCTTTCAGGTGGCCTGGAAAGGCGGCGAGACTGTCGGCCAGAAGCTGATTAAATCAGCCTTCAGTCCTCCTGCCTGTCCAGGTGGAGGCAGGCGCTGCAACACATGCTGTGCAGGGCTTGCAGGGAAGTGCCACTTCAAAAACACCATCTACAGGATTGATTGTTCTTTGTGCCCCGAGGGCCAGTCCTTTTACATCGGTGAAAGCAGACGCTCGATAAGGAAACGATTTAATGAACACCTTGGAGATGCACGCAACAAACGCATAGACACACCGTTTGGCTCTCACCAAAACCAACACCTACACACCCCTCTGACATGCAACAACCTTAATATGAGCATTCTGGCTCGCGCCAAGGATGGTCCGGACAGAAAAATAAAAGAGTCCATGTAAGTACATCCGAGACCAGAGACCTACACTTAACACCCAGACTACCTCGTGGCCGCTGACACGGCTGCAGCCTTAGACATACATATATATATACTGTACGTGACACTTGTACATAGATGATATATGACTCATAGATATATGTAAATATATGTAAGCATTGTACATGCAACATCTGTATATATCTGTATAATGCTTCCTCTGTGTATATGTGTAGTATATGATATATATGTATATATTGTATAATCATAAAGAGAACATCATTCAAAATGTAAATGCGTCATAAACTTTTCTGGGTACATATAGTGTGAAGTGTACAGTGGGTCTATTTAAGATCTCCAGAGCCACCACGTGGCGCTACGGTCGGGGTAGGGCGAGTCCAAATCACGAGGGAAGTGAGGTCACCGGTCATTGTGGGGGAAGGAGGGAGGGGGAGTGACGCGGTATCACGGCGCATGGGGCGTGCGTAGCCCCGGGAGTGGGCCGCCCAGGGCCGCCCGCCACTGCGCCGAGGCTGAGGGGAGGGGATGATGGTTGCGGGTGCGTTCACTCCGGTATGGTGGTATCCTGTTCATGTGGAACCGGCAAGAATGCGACTGAAGGGAATCATTATCTCAAACAAACGGGCAAGCCAGAGGCAGCGTCAGTTCCAGCCAAAATGTTGAACAATGATAATTGAAATCTAAGTTTTGGTGGGTTTTATCGGGTTGAAAAGAATCAGAAAAGAAAAAAGAGTTGAAATGGCTCCAGAGACAAATGACCAAAAATATTTTCCTAAAAAAAATAAAACTTAGCTAAATGTTTATAAGCGATAATTTTGACTTTTGGGGAGGATATTGGGGAAAGATGTCATCGTGCTTAGCTGTGTTGCAGTAGAAGGAAAGGTTTTGGTTGTGTCTAGATAAAACCAGACCCGGGAGTGGGGCTCGAACTCACGACATCGCGTTCAGCTCACAGGTTACCCAACCTCAACGCTACGAGCACCGATCGCCCTGCGCAGCTTGCTCAGTGTTTCGGCTAAAGTTCGGCCAAAATGTCTGACGTCTTTCAATGTCACGAGGCGAAACCCCAAGGTAAATGTCCGTCCCGGTAGCTCGGTCGGTAGAGCGTTGGACTCCATGTGCCATGTGGTGAAGGCGCACGTCCCGGTTGCAAAAGTCCGGGTTCGAAACGCGACGTGTGCTTGACGTTTTTTAGCCTCCTGACGGGTATGGTTGTGGTTGGTGGCAGGCCGCTGCCAGGCGAAGTCAGTGAGGGGACCGGCCGTGCGCGGCTATGTGCGCACGTTAAAATTTGGACTCTAAACCATAGACCATTTTGCCATAGACTAAACCTCAAAACCATAGTCTGCAATAGACCAGGAATTGCTTGATCGGATGGTAGATGGCAGGGTCAACGCTTAACAAGCTCAGCTTAGCGGGGACTGTGTCCTTGTGATTCCTTCCATTCAAAAGGTTCGGGCCAAATTTATATTAAAAAAGGGGGAGCCGAACCAGGTTGGACCGAGTTGAACCAGGCTGGACCGGGGTCATACATGCAATCATGGTCAGACAGAACAGAAGTTAATTTCGGGTCAAATATTCTTATTAACTGATCTTATTGTTTTTTTAGCTTACACGTATAGTAACTTTTAGCTTTTTTAACTCGAGACTTCATGCACAGAAATGTGGCGTTCGTCCACTTTTCCTCACCGTCTCTTAAAGGGACCCTCCCACCTTAACATTAGTTTTGAGTTGAGATAGCCAAATTGGTGGCCATGGCCTGAAAATACCGGTTTGGGCACTCACAACATCGAAAAATGCTTTAATTCGGAGATATGGAATTTCAAACTTGCAGTTTTCGGATTCTAAGGGGCTAATGCATTGGTATGCCCCCTTAGAATTTGTGACGTCAGCGGAGGTCTAACGATTTTTAAATCTTTTACTAAAACGTTTGGTAGCACGCGGTGGTATATTCTGCTTTGCGCGCAACAAATGCCGCACTTTCAAATAAAGTCGCTAGGAACAGCGGAGATCCCAGAAAGTAAACAATAGAAAAAGTCTAATATCTTGAAAACCGGTGAATATTTTTCGGTGAAATTTGGTAGATATTCGTTTTCGCTCTTCCTGAACCGAGCGACATCACTTTCATGCCAATTCATTAACTTTTTTGAAGGTGGGAGGGTCCCTTTAAGTCTTAGCGACTTGATTCCATGTGGCGGCGGAACGGGGGAGGGGGCATCGGGGCACCGTGCCCCCGTTTGATTTTGGCATTTTAACATTAGCCCTATGGGAGTTGCATGGAAAGAATGGGACCAAAAGTCGGCAGTGCCCCCACTTCATTAAAGGTGTTCCGCCGCCACTGCTTGATTTGACCCTAAAGGCGTCTTACCAGCAAAAAAAAAATCACCTGCGTTATACCTAAATATTTGCCCAGGGCGCTCTACGTAAGAAACGCCAGCCGGTCAAAAAACTGGCGAACGAATACGATCTTTCTAGTGCTTGAATTATATCCAATGAAAGTTTCAGGAGACATAAATAACCTTAATCCTTATAGCTAGGAGCTCGGAGCATTCGCTAGCATTCCATTGCCAGCTGCATTATCAACGCCACATTTGCATTACTCTGGGTGCATCATAAGTAACAGTAGGTGAACCGGCCACAGCAAAACCATGCCTCATTATCCTTTCCTTCCAAGCTGCCAAGCTAACCGGCCGCCCGGCCTGGCCCGGCCCACCACCGCGATATGGAACAACACTGGAGTGCGCCATTTGCCTACGGCAGTGCCCCACCGCGCCGGGGCTGTTTGACAGGTCACCCGCACCGTCGTGACCTCGCCACCCGCCCCCCCCCCCTCACCCCCCGCCCACCTCCCCATCGGGCCCAGCTCGGTAGTGACCTCTCCTTGAATTTGACATGGACTCGACTAAGGCTCAACGCCATCTAGTTACGTCTGGAGATCCTAATAAGATCCACTGTACATAATAACAATCACATGTGAATAATTGAATAATTGATGATATTATGTGTAATGTATGCACATGTAGTCGATTATGTTTATATGTAAAGCTATTGTTTATTGTACCTATAAACGTGTATATTGTAAATACGTACACTATATACATGCATTCATATTGTACCTATTCGAACTTCACCAAAAATGTCGGTCCCTTGCGAAGTGTAGCATGAGTTTGCTATTTATTCTGCAGTGTTTGTGGGTCTCAGGGTAAATAGGTGCGTGTTCGGAGGAAAGGAAATTTGAATTACCCACAATGAAAGAACGAAATAAACAGTGAAACGATGGTTAGATATGGGTTAAAACTGGGCGAAAAACGTGAGAAATAAAACTAGGAACTCGTCGAAATACTCAGCCTCTCTGACACTCTGCGTACGGATACTAAATTTTTATTTTAACTGAGAGCACGTGCCAAAAGCCATAAAGATCAAAAAACGAACAGGAAGTCAACGGGGGCGGAACTACAGAGCCAAAAATTAAAACATTTTTTTTACATAATCAAAAACGAATCGAGTATATAGAAACGGCGAAAAGTCAATCCAGAAATTACAACAAAGTAAAGCAAGGACAGATATTAAATACGGCTGAAAACTATAAAACAGAAGTGACGATAATAAATCATTTACAATAATATAAAAGAGGAAAACAAACGTTCTTGATAAAATAGTAAACACTGCGCGAGGCGGCGATTGGCGGCGCAAAGGGCGGCCGGGCTGGGCGGACACGCCGCAGCTAAATTACCGGCGCTAGCGCGCCACACTGCTCCCCCTCTTAGTCGCGGAGCGCATCACATTACATCACAATACACAAAAGGGGGCCTGCGCGGTGGTCACCAGCGACCCGGCGGCCGGGACCGGCGAGGCGGCGAGCGGATCGACGTCCGGTGCGCGGCGGTCGCCAGCGACCCGGCGGCCGGGTGCAGCACGGCGGCGGGCGACTCGACGGCGAGCGGCTCGGCGTCCGGTGGCGGCGCGGTGACCAGCAGCTCGTCGGTCCGGGTCGGTGCGGGCAGCACCGAGTCCACGTTGTGTCGTTTGCTGGTACAGGCGGCAGTCATCTTGGGCTGGCACTTTGGAAGCGAGCTGCCGGTGTCTATGTGGCTGGCAGGTATTGGGCAGGCGTCGCAGGTCTCCCCAGGCTGGAACTGCTCCAAGATGGAGGGGTCGCAGGCACAGGAGAGCCTGGACTGGAGGTGGCTGGTCATGACTGGTTGACCAGGAAGGCACCTGGTCTAGTCAATCGGCGGAGCTCCTGCCAGGTGCGGCTTGACAGAGGCCCCAGGAGGGGCGGCTGCGTCCTGAGCGGCAGGGTCGTCATCCTGTGCAGCAGGGTCGTGTCGGCTTATTGCTGGTCGCCTCTCTCGTCCTGCTGCTGGTGCTGGTTGACGGCGGGAGGCTGCTCAGTGGAAGTGCGAGACAGCTGGTTTGTCAGGCTGCACACGGGTGCGAAAACAGCACCAACAGCAGAAGGCAGGGCCAGGGACTCAGCCACAAGCACATCATCAGTCAGAGTGAGGCATGACGAGTAGGTAGGCATGGTCAAGATTAGCAACAAAAAGCATGAAAAATGGCAACAAAATCACAGGATATATCAACAGGTTAAACTCATCACTTCAAATCACGTCGGGGTCACCAGAATGTGGGTCTCAGGGTAAATAGGTGCGTGTTCGGAGGAAAGGAAATTTGAATTACCCACAATGAAAGAACGAAATAAACAGTGAAACGATGGTTAGATATGGGTTAAAACTGGGCGAAAAACGTGAGAAATAAAACTAGGAACTCGTCGAAATACTCAGCCTCTCTGACACTCTGCGTACGGATACTAAATTTTTATTTTAACTGAGAGCACGTGCCAAAAGCCATAAAGATCAAAAAACGAACAGGAAGTCAACGGGGGCGGAACTACAGAGCCAAAAATTAAAACATTTTTTTTACATAATCAAAAACGAATCGAGTATATAGAAACGGCGAAAAGTCAATCCAGAAATTACAACAAAGTAAAGCAAGGACAGATATTAAATACGGCTGAAAACTATAAAACAGAAGTGACGATAATAAATCATTTACAATAATATAAAAGAGGAAAACAAACGTTCTTGATAAAATAGTAAACACTGCGCGAGGCGGCGATTGGCGGCGCAAAGGGCGGCCGGGCTGGGCGGACACGCCGCAGCTAAATTACCGGCGCTAGCGCGCCACATGTTCTTTGTTGTTCCATGTTTAAAACGTATATGTTTTTCTGTAATTATCGCTGACGAAGCTCCAGGAGCGAAATATTCGATAATTTTAAATATAACTTTTTGCCTCCTATTTCTGATCTATATTATGAGGTTACTGGTTATTCTTATATCAATTTTATTCATCATGAGCCTCAAGCAGAGTTTCAGCTTTTTAAGAAGTATAACAACACAACGGAAATAGTTGAGCCGAGTTGCCTGTCTGTCCCATGTAACGCATTAAAGACGCCAGCCCCAACTTCTACCCTCATTTCATAAATATGCAAGATATTACAACAAAAATTACCCGACGTTTCGTTTATTATAACTTTTTCAAGGGTAATGAAAAGACACACATTTATCTACGAGAACATGGGATGTGTAACAGCGCGGGCAATCCTTCGTAGTAACACTTCCTGTCTGCAAACAGGTCACAAAGAAACAATTCACAAATCATAATCTCTCCTGACTAAAGATGCGGCCACAGAAGCAAGCCTAAAAAATCCATTTGAAATATTCAAAGTTTGACCAGTAGCGATAAATGCCGCCTCTACAACTTTTCGCTGAACTTTGGAAAAATTCCTGTCGACACTTGTAGCCCCTGTCCAGTTAGGCACATGCCCTTCTTCCTCTGCGTGAACAACAAAGGCGTTCGAAACTCTATGATTGCGCATGTCTCCCTTGTGCTCGCGAACCCTCGTTTTTAGACCCCTTCCCGTTTCCCCGTAGTACACGCGTGGGCATCCACCGCAAGGAATTTTATATACTACGCTATCTCTGTTTGACTCTCTTTTGTTTCGCTTGAAAATTCCGCCTATTTTCTGTCCTCCTTTTGCAACAATGGATAGGGCCGGGCCCACCAGCTTTTGTACCTGTTCAGTAAGAGGGGAATAAGGGGCTATCACCGACAGTGTATTCTGCGCGTGCCTTTCAGATACGTCAGCTACCCTAGTGTTAGATTGAGACCAAATCCGTTTAGCTTTGTCCCTGAGGGATATGAGTTTGGCCAAAGGGTATCTCAGCTGTAAGAATGTATTGGTTATGTAATCAATTTCTTCCTGTAGCAGGTCTTGTGAGCAAATTCGAAGGGCGCGCAAGAAGAATCCGATAACGACCCCAGACTTTACCTTCTGACTGTGTCCCGAGAAATAATGTATGAGGTCATTCCTATTAGTGGGCTTACGGTAGACCAGGGACAAAGCTAAACGGATTTGGTCTCAATCTAACACTAGGGTAGCTGACGTATCTGAAAGGCACGCGCAGAATACACTGTCGGTGATAGCCCCTTATTCCCCTCTTACTGAACAGGTACAAAAGCTGGTGGGCCCGGCCCTATCCATTGTTGCAAAAGGAGGACAGAAAATAGACGGAATTTTCAAGCGAAACAAAAGAGAGTCAAACAGAGATAGCGTAGTGTATAAAATTCCTTGCGGTGGATGCCCACGCGTGTACTACGGGGAAACGGGAAGGGGTCTAAAAACGAGGGTTCGCGAGCACAAGGGAGACATGCGCAATCATAGAGTTTCGAGCGCCTTTGTTGTTCACGCAGAGGAAGAAGGGCATCTGCCTAACTGGACAGGGGCTACAAGTGTCGACAGGAATTTTTCCAAAGTTCAGCGAAAAGTTGTAGAGGCGGCATTTATCGCTACTGGTCAAACTTTGAATATTTCAAATGGATTTTTTAGGCTTGCTTCTGTGGCCGCATCTTTAGTCAGGAGAGATTATGATTTGTGAATTGTTTCTTTGTGACCTGTTTGCAGACAGGAAGTGTTACTACGAAGGATTGCCCGCGCTGTTACACATCCCATGTTCTCGTAGATAAATGTGTGTCTTTTCATTACCCTTGAAAAAGTTATAATAAACGAAACGTCGGGTAATTTTTGTTGTAATATCTTGCATATTTATGAAATAATCGTCACATTACAACTTCTACCCTCATCCCCACTATGTGTTTCTTGGCCGTCTCATAATCATTCTCTCCATCTCTCTGTAGGTTCTGGACGGCCTGCAGTACCTGCACTGGCGCGGAGTGGCCCACCTGGACCTGCAGCCCGACAACATCGTCCTCACCAGCTGCCGAAGGGTGGACGTCAAACTGGTCGACTTTGGCTCGGCCCAGAAGGTCACCAAGCTGGGCGCCCAGGTCCACCGCAGCAGTCTGCTCGAGTACACCGGTAAGAATCACGGTTCATTGGCAAACAGGAGGAACCATCTGGCGTGCAGCGGGTAGGGAGAGGCGTAGGTAGGTCATAAGACGGGCAAACTCCATTCAGCGTTCATGCAGCATTTTTAAATTTAAAACTAACTAATGCTTTTTCATGAGGTCCTCCAGGACTTCATAATACATATGCGGGAACTTGCGTATGTAGCACTAGCAGACGTCGGTATGGTTGTCGCTGTTGTTCCCTTTAGAGCAAAGTTGGTCCAGCCTGTTACCCCTCGGGGGCTTCTTGTAGCATACGTTTTACAATTTGGAGCACGGGTAGTCATTTAGTCTGATGCCTAACGGTTTTTATCGCCTTTTCTCGGTTGTTCCGTCGACGCAGCTCGGTGCGACATGCTATTTACACTCTCCTTCCCTCTCAGCGCCGGAACTGCTGGCCGACGAGCCGGCCTTCCCAATGACGGACGTCTGGTCTCTGGGCGTCATCACCTACCTGCTGCTGTCCGGAACGTCACCGTTCCGCGGCGAGACCGACGCCGAGACGCGGCAGAACATCCTCTTCGTCCGCTTCCGCTTCGAGTACCTCTACCGCGAGATCACCACCGAGGCCACGCGCTTCCTCATGCAGATCTTCAAACGAGCGCCCAGGTGAGAGGAGATAAAATGCAGGCAGACGGGCTGGTTGATGTTTCTATAGCACTTTCCATGTGGACAATTGCTATCTCTAGCTAGACTCTAGTAAAGACTGGCTTTTAATTCTATTCTGATTGCGCCTTCTGCTACTTATAACTTTCAGGTAGACACATACCTAAACGAATGCCAGTCTACTGAAGTCGGGAATAATAAAATGTATGCACGGTATTTCCCTCCTTTATGCTGACCGTTCCTGTTCGCCCGACCCACAGCAAGCGGCCCACGTGCGAGGAGTGCTCCGAGCACCGGTGGCTGCTCTCCAACGACTACATGCTGAAGCGGCGCGAGCGGGCCGTCTTCCTGGGCAACCGCCTCAGGGTCAGTGGGACATATTCTGGTGGGACGCTGGTAACATCCGTAATAATGGTCTTGGGCATAAAATGAGACATACCATTTCACGCATTGATATTGAGCTGTAGCTTGAGTCTCAGTTTTTGGTTTAACATTACCTTCGGTCTTGGCTGAACTACTGTTGCATGAAAAATATTTGGTCTGTCGAAGCCAGCACAAGAGTCCGTGAGAAAGCCATTTACAGTTTGTAAATAATTACAATAAAAATATTGTAATATTAACGCATGTAAAATATTCCCGAATTACGAATATTTATAACATGATAATGCATGAAACCAACCGGAGATGTAGAAAGTCTCGCCATTGAACCAGCCCCATTGCTAACGGCGCGTCTCTGCCACCCCCAGGAGTACTCGGACCGCTACCACCGGCAGAGGCTGGAGCAGGCCACGCAGAGCCCCGACCTCCTCGCCGGCTTCGGCATGGCGCTCTCCCGCTCGCTCAGTGTCGAAACGAACGCCTTCACCACCTTCTAGGAGCTTTCCCAGTCAGCTGCCGGTTGCGCGGGTCCCGCCCCGTCCCCGCGACTCGAACCGCCCCTGCCCGAGTGTTAGCTCGAATTAATTTGGCACGGTAGTCACTCGCGAGTGATGCCACTGAGCTTGTTGTCCTTCATGCAGGCGTGATCAGAGTTGTGAGTGAGGTTGTTGGAGTCAGTGGTGGCGCCGAGGTTGTGAATGATGTTGTTAGAATGTTGCGAGTCATGTTAGACCGCGAAGCACGGCGCGGAAAACAGAAACGTTTTGCCGTTCTTGAGGATACCGTCGCCGTTCAGTTGTGGTATTCGGGATGCGTACCTACACACATTTGGAAAGTTGTCTGCCTAATTTACCCATCCCGACGAAATCAGTGTTTGCTTTGCCGCTAGGACGTGAGGACCGTCAGTCTAGAGGTCGCGTCAGGTCCCCGGGTCGTGAGGACGGTTTGTGAGAATACGTTGAGGATTTCTTGCCGAATGCAGACGCGTTTGATGCATCGGAAATACATTGGTGTATACAGATCGTTTTGCTGTTTTTGTTTTGACTCAGCGACGGACACTGATTGGCCAGAGGAACCTATTGCAATCCGTATGAGAACAAAAGGAAATGACTTCATAAATGCGGAAAACGTTTGTCTACCACAGAAAACATTTTATTGGAGGTGTGCTGAAACATATTTCACGACTTGTCTGTTTTGCAAAGAAAATGGAAAATTATTTTTTAGACGCACCCGACGCACCTTCCACCCCAGCAACTGCTTTGGCTTAGGACGAAAAGGTACATGTGAGTATTTTAGAAAATGTGGATCATTATTTTGAGCCATGTGTTACATTATGTAGACTTGCGACAGACACGTAGCCGCTCTATCATAATTATAGATTCTCCGTAGACCACTGGGAATCAATAACGGCATTTCGATGCATCTCTGCATTCATTTTGAAACGAGGAAATTAAATGCTTCTTGAATATTGTTATACCTATGTTCGATGCCATGAAGAAGCTCTATTATTCTGTGAGAGCTTATCACTTTTATTCCTGTGAAGTGTGAAACATCGGCACTGAAAATGGAGCCTGAGGGCACATTACCTCCAAGCGGGTCAGAAGGTGGCTATAATCAGTCGACAGCGATGGACACCCTTCCATCAAAGTCCAATGATTCTATACCAGATGGGACGAACCTCCACGTGGAAATGGGAGTTGATGTTAATTCACTCACATCTGGCAGCCTCGACCAGAGACCATCTGGAATGATGCCATATAGTTTCGTGATGACGGCGAACTCGGATATCACCAATCAGACGCGCTCCACAACATCTCAGTTGGGCGGACTTACACGCCAGGAATTCTACTCGTCACTAGGCGACTCTGCAGTTCCATCCACCACCGAGTTCAACTACGCGACCTACTTGCGCGAACGGGCAGCAATAAGCCAGCAATGCCTCGGCAGTGAGGGCGAGCCAACAGCCACCTCGCCCATAACTGACGTGAAGGACCCCTTCAACATGGACGTGGCGGAGCAGCAGCTGCTGAAGAGGCCACCGGCTTGCTTCATCGTCATCGGGAAGCCGTGCTCGGGGAAGACGACGATGGCGCGCCTGCTGTCCGAGTGGTGGCGCTCCATCTACATCAGTCCCGACACACTCGTGGAGGATATAGTGGAGAGCCAATCGGAGCTCGGACTCCGCTTTTGGTCCCTCCTCGCGTCGGGTGTGGCCATTCCCGAGCAGCTCATCATGAGCATGCTGTCAGAGCGTCTGCAGCGTGAAGACGTCAGACACTATGGCTACGTGTTGGATGGATTTCCCTGTCTATCAGAGAAGGTGCTGTCCCACCTGGATCAGCTGAAACTGATTCTAGACTCGGCCCTGCCACCAGCCGTGATTATTCATCTAAGAATATCGGACGAAGATCTGGTGGAGAGGGCTGCGTCTTTCCGCATGGATGAAGCAAAGGGCAGGTTGTATAGCTTCATATTCTATACAGAAAAACCGAAACCACCAAAAAAGCAAAAACCGCCACGGTTGCCATCGGACGACGAGAATGAAGAAGAGGAGGAAGAAGAAGAGGAAGAGGAGGAAATGCACGAGGAGGCAGTCGAAGAAGAGGAAGAAGTTGAGGAAGAGGAAGAGCCAGAACCCATGGAAAACGAAGAGGGTAGCGAAGACGGTGAAGAACGTCGCCCACCTCAACTCAAACCACCCAAAAAGCCGAAACCGATGAATCCATTTCATCCGGCACCGAAGAAGGTTCGAGATACTCTTCTGCGCATCCCCGAAGGCAATCGGTCTCGATTCTCCGGAAAGCTAGAAGCATATAAATCTCGACTGATGTTGTTGCTGGAAGATTATATGACCAGCCACAGCCCCGAGTTTCTGATTGAAATTGACGCTACGCTGCCTCCGAAAGAAGCGTTCGACAGCCTGAAGTACCGTCTGTCTGTGCTACCTATCTACCGCGCCATGGTGCCAGTTCGTCTAAGAGATCAGGACAACCCACCAGCCGTCTCCTCGGAGGACGAGCCCGAGCAGATCAGACACGTGCTGCAGCGCACCAGTCCGCTCTGCTTGCGATTCAAGTGGACGCCGTCCGATTTCGGCGCCATGTGTCCCGTCAATCTCCAGGATGGTCGTATCGTGCGTGGAGACCCAGAATTCTCAGTTGGCTTTCTGGATCACTTCTACGTCATGGCCAACGAAGAAGCATACGACCTATTCATGCAAAATCCGCGACGGTTTTTGATGAGGAAGCCAAAGCCTCCGTGTCGGGTGATCATCTGTGGGCCCATAGGAAGTGGTCGGACCACGCTTGCGTCCCACTTGGCCAGCTACTATGCTGCAAGTATCATTGACATAAGGGAGGCAGGAGTGCTGTTCTTGGTGAAAAAGCGGAAGGAAGTCTTGGAAGAAAAACGGAAGGAAAAACGAAAAGAAATCAAGGAGACAGTCATGGCTAGGAGAAAAAGGGAAGCAGAAGAACGTGCAAAGGTTGAGGCGGAAAACGCTAGCGATGAAACGAAAGGTGAAGAACAGAGTGGACAGATCAGCCCTAATGATGGCGAAAAAAGCAAAGAATCCATGGGGAAAGGAGGTAGCGGTGCAGCTTCGGAAAGAGACTCGTCCGGAGAGGCGACAGCGACACCCAGGAATAGCGCAGGCAGCAATCGCTCCAATGCACCGGAAGAAGCAGAGAGCAAGGCCGGTCCCGGTAGTCCTGGTGCTCGTGCCGATAGTGGATCAAGCGGCAAGTCCACTAAGCCAGGCAGTGGATCTGGGGCTGGGAGCGACGGAGGAGGCGCCGCGGAACAGACGGAGAGCGGAGGTGTGGGCGCTGCAGGCGCTGGCGGCAGCAGCGGAGCCTCCCCAGGGGACGGCGTGACCGACTCGTCAGGCGAGGAGTCCCAGTCGTCGTCGGACGCGCCGCCGGACCCCGAGGTGGAGGCTAAACTGGAGGAGTGTGCCGCTGAACTGGAGGCGCTGGTAGCCGACGTTCAGCTGGAGCCGCCTGACTGGCTGCAGGTGCTGCAGGAGACGGTGGCAGAGACAGAGCGACAGCGCCACGTCGAGGCCGGTGGTGGGCCCAAGCACGGCGGCTGGGTCATCGACAACATGCCCACAGAGATGGTGCTGTGGGAGCTGATGGCTCAGTCCAAGTTTGAGTATGATGACTTGGTTTGTATCTGGGACGACTCGGATGATTTTCTGTTCCTGCAGGATTACTACTATCAGGAGCATCGTGAAAAGGTGGGAGAAGATGCTGTCGCCGCAAAAACCGCTGCCGAAGAGGAGGCCAAGAGAAATGAGGAGGAGCAGCGAAGGCTGGAGGAGGAGCGGGCGCGACAGGAAGAGGAGAGGCAGGAGCAGGAGGCGGTGAATAGGCAAATGGCGGCCATTATGGGCGAGAGCGCATCGCCTGGCGCTCCGTCTGAGCCAAAGATGGATGAAGACGAGACGAAGCCGGATGAAGCGGCAGCTGGTCAAGGCACTTTATCTATCGGCGGCGCCTCCCCAGCGCCGGCTGCCCCAGGCGGGAACGCGTCACAAAGGGGGCCAGCCAGCAACATGTCCGGAGCACCAAACACCGAGCTAGAAGACCTGCAGGAGCTCGGAGACCCCGCGACGCCTCTGGTACCGCCCGAACCGCCACCAGACTGCCCGATGATGGCCGACTACAAAAAGAAGCTGCTAGACTTCAGCCAGGAGTGGAGTTCCGTGCGCAGCCTGGCCGAGCCGCGAAACTCCCCTGAGCCTATAATTCTGGCGCTCGACAAGGTGATGCGCACTGGGACAAATCTGCTGCGAGTTGTCACCGAGCAAATGGAGCACAGCTTCCGTCAGCAGCCGCGGGACCTGAGCAGCAGTGACGAGCTGGAGATGGAGTTTGGAGAGGTTGACGACGAGGTGGAAGAGGAGGCAGCTGATGATGACAATGAGCTCGAGGATGAGGAAGACCATGGCATGTCAGACGCTGAAGGTGAAAACCAGTCACGGCAAGACCAGAAGAAGCCTTACGGAGAGACGGGCAAGTTCTGCCCAGTGACTTACACGAAGATGGGAGTGCTGCAGCCGGGCTCACCGGAATTCGCTGTCGGTTACCGCGGTCAGTTATACCTCACCAGCTCTCAGGAAGCCATGGATACACTGATGGCTGATCCGGATCGCTACATCCCAGCCAATGAGCCACCAAATCCGGCGCCGCTGCGGCTTGTTCTGCTTGGAGCATTCGGTGCAGGAAAATCAGAACGCGGCCGTCATCTAGCCGAGAAATGCGGCGTGTTCTTCTACGACTACACCGAGCGACTGCAAGAAATAATGCTGTCTCTGGGAAAGCAACGCATAGGCAAGCACTTCTACACTGACGTGTCAGGGGAGGACACAATCGCCGACGACATCGCAGATGTTGTCACAGAGACGACCCGCATGCGAGAGGAGTTTGACCAGAAACAGGCCGAGCGTCGAGCTGAGGCGGCGGCAGCAGCCGGCCTGGAGAGTTCCAGCGCAGGTTTCGGCACTCCTCCACCGGAGCCGTCGGCGGCTGAGGAGGAGCCGGCAGCCGGTGGCGAGGGCTCTGATACGGAGGAGACCAACGGCCGGCGACCGGACCAGGCAGGCTGGACGGACCTCCAGGTAGAGGTAGAGGCACATCTCCTCGGAGAGCTGGAGATGCTGTCTCCGAACATGCTGGACGAGCTGGTGCGTCCGTGGTGGGAACACTCGCCGTACAAGGAGACAGGGTTCGTGATGGAGGGCTTCCCAGCGACGCCCGACGAGATGCAGTATCTGACAGACCACCATCTGTTCCCTGACGCCATCGTTGTGTTGATAACGGATCCCGAGCAGACGGTGCAGCGCTTGCTTCCATCCAGGCTTGCACAGTGGCAAGAGAAAATGGATGTTTTCCAGGCCAGAATAAAGGAGGCACGGGAAGCAAAGGCCGCAGAGAGACAGCGTGAGATAAATGAACGTCGAAAGGAGCTGCAAGATGAAGTCGATCAGAAGAAGAAGCAGCGAGAAGAGATGCTGAAGCAGCAGGCTGTGGATGACGAGGGCGGAGACGAAGAGGGAGATACCAATGATGACGAGCCCCCGGAAGGATCAGATGCTATGACGATGGGAGATGAGCTGGGAGAAGAAGAGGAGACGATCGACATTGATCAGATCATTGCAGACGAATTCCCTGAGCCGGAGGAGACTGAAGTTCAGTGGGAGACGAAGGAAGAAGCAAAGGAGCGCCTCTCCGAGGTTCTCCGCCAGTGGCACGAGGAAGGAAAAGCGGCCATTGCATCTCTGAAGGAAGTGGCAACCGAGGCGAACATCCCGTGGGTGGAAGTGGATGCCAGACGACGAGGTCATATTGTTGACTTCCAGCTGACCACTGCTCTGGAAAAATACATCAAACACCGTTCGAGCCTGCTGCAGCGAGCCTACCCAATCGGAACCAACATGGCTTCGATGCTGTTGGACGTCGGCTACCGGCAGCTGAGTAAGTTCGGTAAGCAGTGCCCGGTGACGCTGAAGGACCGAGGCATGATGCTGCCGCCGTTCAACCCTGTGGAGCGGCGGCCGTACCCAGTCATCTACCGGCGGCACATTTACTACTGCATCAACAGCGCGGCTGCCGCCAAATTCATCCGCAATCCTTTGATGTACACTGAGCAGAGGCCGCCGCAGTACCTGATCCCCAGCCGCGTGGCGGTGCTGGGACCGCCCAAGTCAGGTAAAACGGCCGTTAGCTGCGGCCTGGTGCGCCGCTACGGTCTGCACCGCGTCTCGGCCGGGGAGGCGGTGCGTGCCCTGTTGGCGCGCTGGCCGCCGCTGCAGCTGGGCGAACGCGTGCGGCACCACCTGGAGGAGGGCCAAGCGGTACCGGAGCCGCTCCTGGTGGCCGTGATTCAGATGGCATTGCTCTCGGTGTCGGCCCAGGTGCACGGCTTTGTGCTGGATGGCTGGCCGCAGAACGAGCGCCAGGCGGCGGCGCTGACGGCCGCTGGCGTGCTTCCTTACCTGATACTGGAGCTGAAGGCCGACGCCGCGATCACCGTTCGCCGCGCGCGGCGCCAGGAGAACTGGTTCCGAGCGGAGCAGACTCGCCTGGAGGCGGCTGCCACGCGGCGCAGGCCGCCCGCAGAGGAGCCGCGGCTGGAGACGCCGCTGGCGCACTGCGTTCGCCTCGCGAGCTGGAGACAGGCGTCCGAGCAGCTGGGGTACTACTACCAGCGCCTGCATGGGAACCTGGTGGAGCTCAACGCCGGCAAAACCATGTGGGCGGTGGAGAAGGAGGCTCGAGCCGCTCTCGAGCAGCGCATCAGCGAAATCTACCAGTACCGCGAGCGAGTGGCGTCGGGTCGAGCGGCGCCGCTGGGAGCCCTGTGTGTCACTCCGGACGAGCTGTCGGTGCGGCTCGGTCCCCTGGGTCACTACTGCCCCGTCTGCTGGAGGGACGGCAAGCTGACCGACCTCAGCGGCGAGAAAAGTCTGGCGCACGCCGTGGAGCTGGGCGGACGGTACTACCGCACGTGTGGAGCCGAGCACCGGGAGGTATTCCTAGAGGACGGCGAGATGTGCGTGCCGCCGCGCGCCGCTCCGCTACCTCCGGAGCTCCCGCGCAGGCTGTCCCAGCTCGACACGGCCGAACTGTTGCCCAACATCCCCCTGGCCTTCGGAGGGTTCTGCACGGTCACCTACGTGCGCGGCGGGCGAAGGTACGAGGCTCTTGTGCGCGGCGACCCCGCAATAGCCGTGGGCTATCATCATCAGGTGTATCTGCTGGCCTCAGAGGAAGCCCGAGACGCGTTCATGTCGGAGCCGCGTCGGTTCTACGCCTGCGTTCTGCCGAAGAAACTCCCGCCGACCGCCACCAAGGACTCAACGACGAAGGCCAAGGAGCCCCAGCTGCTGCCGGTCTCCAGCCTTCCCCTGCCGGGCTACCTGGAGCAGACGCTCGGCCACCACCTGGTTCGGGTGCTGACGACGGCCGGCTGCCGCAGGCCCAAGCACCCTCAGCTGGGCGTCACGGCCTCGGTGCTGGTACACATCGGCCTGCAGCTGCAGACGCGCGCCGCCGCCTCCGACTGTGTGCGCCGCCGCCGCGAGCAGAGACTGGCAGAGTTCGAGGCCGCCTGCGGACTGGTGGAGCGGCTCGGACCGGCGGTGAACGGAGTTGGGTCCGACCCGCGTCACATGCCGGACAATCTCAGACGGGAGATGGAGAGGTTCACGGCGATGCTGCAGCGGCCGCGGCAGGCAGCCTACAGGGACGTCTGCTGAACAAATGATGGATACACAAGTCGCTACCGGAGAAACCAAACTCCTCGCTTAGCGGTTATCGGTCGGGGCATTGTGTCTCAGGAACGGCTGACGGCTACTGACTATGGAGCTGGGTATGACGCACGTTTTTCATGAAACAGATGGCGTCACTCGATTGACTTGCCGAGTAACTAATACGCGATTGATAGATGCTTCATCTCGCCAAGTGATATTCAGCCCAGAGTGATAAAGATTCATCACCGTGTAATCGCGGTAAAATACAAAACCAGGTAGAAAACCAGATAATCGAATTGTTCTATAGATAATCGATCGATCGAATCGAATCTAATCGCATTGTTTATTGTTTGTCGCACAAATGGAAGGGAACGTTTACCGAACCATAACGCTTTTCCAGCCAGCGTAAGAATATCGGCACATATAAACACCGAATTTGGCACAGCATTTTCGACATTCATAGCGCACACGTGCTGTTAAAAATGTTCCATAGCTGAAAAGTCCAGCCTCCAGCTGAAAGGTCGCACTAGCTGCTAGGTGACAAGTATGCTAGGTAGTAGGTGACATTTCAGCTACCTGATAAGACAGCCTGACAACAACCTGAGGTGACAACCTGAAGTCAGCTTACGGGTCATTTGAAGGTCACCAGCACCTATTTAACTATAAAATGTGATAGACATGCTAGAGCGAAGAAAGCGCTCTGATTTGCGGACCAAGTGACATGCGGCATGAGAATTCCCAGGCGGGGGAAAGTCAGGGGAAAGTTTCCCAGTTGGGATCATGGCACATCAAATTTCCAAATTGACCTCAAGTCATGTTGTAGTTCATTCGACGCGTCTCGACGAAAAAAAAGCGAAGGCAATGAAATCGAGATTGGATTCTTATGCCATTAAAGTTATTACAGAAAACATTTACATCAAAAATGGCCGTTTTGACAGTTTGTGTCCACTCGAAGCTAAATCGTTAACATACCTATCGCAAAGCCATGTCCCACCACAGCTTTTTAAGAGCTATCGACTTCGAGTGAGCTTTTACTCGGGTGCTGTAGCTCAATTAACTCCCAAGCTAGGCGGCAATTTGTCAAAAAATGTCTTATCGGGAAAAATTGCTATGGAATTCTGGCAAACGGGAAATGGTCGAAGCACTTCTTTCACAATTTTTGCATTCTCTCGAACGCCACCTGCACGTTGGAAATCTCAAAATCTAATTTTCTTAGTCTAACTACTCCTAATAGCATTCATATTCTAATATAATTTAGTAAAACAAGTTATTTTATCTTATTTTTCATTTTTACTTTTTGATATTTTTTCGAATGCCGCTTTGCTACGTGATCCAGTCAAGATCCAGTAGCCATAACTTTTTTTCTCCTACGGGAGAAAAAGAAATATATTTTTCTTTCATATAGAACAGTGGTCGGCAGGCCCTCCGGGGTCGTGCCCCCTTTTCGGGCGCCAGGTAGGGCCATTACCCCCACCCTACCAGACACCATTGCATACACAACCGAGCTCACTGAAATGTCATACCTTTCCGTGATTCTTTGGGTATTTCGGGTATTATTATGGAAAAACGTCGGATCACGACACAGTTTTACCCTCGAGCCGATCATTTTTTTTTTATCTGCCACAAAGCATGTCATACATTGACAGAAATAACTGTTGACTTGTTAGGCAGTTGTTTCTTGAGATCATGGAAGTTCATAAAATTTCAATTCTAGAAGGTACAGCGGGTGCTGATCTACTACACAATTGTCATTGACCCTTTGAAAGTCTTAAGTCACCAAATGGCCAAGGAAGTTAACCGTCACCCGTATTGGTGTTTTGCCAGCCGCTAATTTATGGGGGGGGGGATAAATTCGTTGGACCCCTATTTGTCGTTCGGCCCCTGATCAAGCATGAGCTTCGCGGAAAAAACGAGCGTGTTGCCCGTGACGAGAGAAAGCTGATGCTTTGTCATTGATTGACCTTCCAGGTCGGCTCAATGACCCAAAAAGTCGGAAAATGGAGACCTGTCAGAACTTCGTAAAGTGAGGATAGTTGTGGAGTTTGTCGGGGTACCGATCACGAATTTTATCTAAGTTTTGATTACAGATGTCTTCGTGCATTTAGGCCAGGTCGGGTCAGGTCAGGTCAACCGATAGGCGTCCTGTCGGGTATTTATAGTAGGCATCAACAACCACTGACAACTTCGTAACATGTTACGAAGGCACCAAAATTACTTGGTATATGTTCAAATGGTTGCGAAATTCTAGCTACAATGTATAAAATTGATAAACCTGTACTGAAAATGTCATCGCGATCGGCTGCTTTTTGCGCGCGTTATTCGCGAAAACCCGAGGAAAAGGGGGTCCCCTATAAGTGCGAAGGTTATAATTGGGTAGCAGCGTCTTCCTATCGTCACGGGTAGCACGCTCATTTTTCTACCGCAAAGCTCCAGTTCAGATTTCAGAGGCCGAGAGGCTGGGGCCCGACCGGCCCCTCCCCGTTTACGTTAGCTGTTATGAAAACGCCAATAGAGGGGCGACGGTTAGCGTTCGATCTTTGAACCCTGAGACCAAACAGGCGTGATGTCTGTCCCATCAAGGGAGACATTAATTATAAGATAAGGCTTTCTCAGAGGCCCCCATTACCCCCCGCCGAGGGGCTCCATTACCCCCAAAGGGGGCATGCCCCACCATTTGCCGACCCCTGATATAGAAGCCCAAATGTAGGCTAAATGTGGACTGAACGTGAGCCAACGTTGCTTTAACTGGCATCTTTACATCAGTTACTCCGTTAACAGTTAAAAGGGCCCGAGCTACCGCCCGGAAGCTGAATCTGGGCGGAATGTGGGCTAACTTTCCGCGAATTGGCATCTCTACATCGGCATCCGAGTCAAACAGTCGGCCGGGCGGCCCCTGCGCCACCTGACGGGATCCGGAGTAGCACAAGGTAGGCTGAATCTGGACTGCAGATGGGACAGATTTGGACGAACTAGCATCTCTATTTGCCAAGTCCGGGGTGCGGCAACAATCAGGCGGCCCCGAGTCGCCCCTTGCCCCTGTGAGACGCCACCGGCACGCGTCACAAAAACACTGAATCACAGCAGTTGGTCGACTGTAAACTTAGCGAGAGCGTCTTCCTCGTCAGCCGGCCAATGGGCACGGGCCTAGCAACTGCGTTGGCTCGCTGCCAGTGGCACAGTCAGCTGGCGCCCGGGGGAGGGGGGAGGGGGCGGCGGCGTCCGTCGGTCCAGCCTGTTCGGTGGCGTCGCAGCGCGCGCGGCGGTCATGGCCGGGGTATTGATAAGCCGCCTGTCGCGTTTCAGACACGCCGCTGGTGTGGCCGTGAGTGGAACGTGCTCGGCGCTGCTCGGTGCTCACTGCTTCTCCGTCATGGCGTCCGCCAAGAACGCAGCGTCCATCTACGACTTCAAGTGCAGTGATATTGACGGCAATGAGGTGCCGCTGTCCAAGTACGACGGCCAGGTGTGCATCATCGTCAACGTGGCCTCTAAGTGAGGCAAGACCCCGACCAACTACCGGCAGTTGGTCCAGCTGTACGACACGTACAGCGAGCAGGGTCTCAGAATCCTGGCCTTCCCGTGCAATCAGTTCGGGAGCCAGGAGCCGGGCACACCAGAGGACATCAAGAAGTTCGTCGCCGGCTACGGCGTCAAGTTTGACATGTTCGCCAAGATCAAGGTGAACGGATCCGACGCGGATCCTCTCTGGGAGTACTTGAAAAACAAGCAAGGCGGCACGCTGGGCAACTTCATCAAGTGGAACTTCACCAAGTTTGTGGTGGACCGCAAGGGCCAGCCTGTCGCTCGGTTCGGGCCCGGCGATGACCCGATCCCTGCCGTCGAGAACGCTGTGAAGAAGCTGCTCTGAGTGACCTGAGAGGGCCGTCGCCGCCGCCGCCGCCGCCGCCCCGCCCGTCGGATGACGTCTCGACTGGAAACCTGCAATGCGGGTCGGCCGGGACCGAAGAGATTCGGACGGGGTAGCTGCGGCCGCAGCCGCCGCCCTTCCCCGCTCATCAGCTGATCTGTGTTACCGGACCCGCCCCCGGGCAGGGGATGTGATTTTGTAATGGACAGCGTCAACCATGTGCAATGGCATGTGTCAAACCATCAGCAGTCTGTCAGTGTACGGCAGTGCGTCCGTGTGCAGCGTTTACAACGCTCTCTCTGTTCAGCAGTCTCTCCGTGAGCACTGTGTGTCCTTGGGCCGCATCGGAAAATCAATACCGCATTCTAAGAAGTGTGTACGCGGATGACAATACACATTCGTATCGATTCCGGGCCTCGGCTGAGGTGAGTCGGCAATAATCGAAGGTTAGACACGCACTGTAGTGCCCAAAGGCACAGGCGGGCACGGCAAAGTCAAACCATGACAGGTGGCGGCAAATGAGCACATCAAAAACTCGTTTACCATGTGGGGGAGGGGGTAACAGGTGGGGGCTGACCCTGCAGATATCGATATGCCCCTCCTCTTACTTCTTAGACTTAAGAGCCTCAATGAAATGTCACCACTGCACTGGAGGGGGGGGGGGAGGAGGGAAGTGACACTACCGGGAAGGCAAAAATTATTCGTGTCGAGTGTAAAAACGCATTAACACGCATAGTAGGTATAGGAGGGTTCCGAGAACTCCTCCCAGGAAGGGGGAGGGGGTGGCGAATGTCGTCCCCTCCCGAAGATCTCAGTTCCTAAGGCAGCTAAAAAGACGAACTTTAGAAGGTGGGTGGAAGCGGTGGGGAACTCGATTGTGTGTTTATTTCATGACACTGTCATTATCGTTAAGATTACATGAGGTCACACGGGGTCAAACGTGCCGTATGAGGGACTATTTTGTGTTTACACGTCCATAACACAAAAAGGCATCGGCCGATTTTCTTGCTTCTTTCACTATGCAACAGCACATTCATTTGGAGTATTTATTGAGAATCTCTACAGTCAATCAAACCATAATAATGATAATAAGATATCTGCTAAGGCCTAAGAGTCTTTCGGTTGAGGCGGGGATGAGCCGACGCGGGAAGCCTTTCAGCCACAATTTTGTGTTTACACCCTCGTTTACACCCTAGAGATGTTTACAAGTCGCAAGTCAAAATGTTACCAGCTGATTTCTAAATTCTTTGACCAAAAGATTGCCTGTACCTTTTTAAGTCTTCACAGAGATTTTGACACGAATCGATCATTAGCAGCGGTAAACAGCGCAATGCAAAGACGGAACAGTCCGGCGACGGCAGCCTACCAGACATGCGGCAAGAACCGCGCCGCCGCTGCAGCGTGATTTTTTTTTTACTTTACACCCTTGTTACTAGAAAAGTTGTGGACCGGTCACCGATTTACTTATTGCTTTCGCGGCAAGATGCGCAATTCAACTCATAGCGGCGAGAGGCGGCTATGGAAAGTTAGGCCCCTGCCCAGGGCGCCACCGAACGTGACCGGAGCTAATGGCCCGTTGACAGACGCGGGGCAGACCCGGGAGGGGTCAATGTTTCCAGTCAGGTCAAGGGGCGCGGGAACAGGCGGGCCGTCGACGGAAAGTGTCACGCACACCAGTCGTCTGACAGCGACGGACGGTGAACGGAGCGAAACGCGAGCGAAAAGCTTCCCACCCACCCTCACCTTTTTAATGGATGTGACTTCAAGATAAGTTATACCTGCATATCCCTAATCCAGACCATATATCGTCGTTATCGCTCTCGGTGGCGTTTGGCGTTTTTAAAGGGGTATTCGACCCTATACGAACGAGCCGACGTGAGTGATTCCGGCCACTGACAGCCAACTGGGGAGAACGACTGGTGAGTGGCACGGGCAACCTAATACATATTAGGCAGGTTTTGAAGAAAGAAAAAAAAACAGAATGATCACGGCGTGAGTTATTCGCGAAAATCAGGAGAAGCGGGCGAAATTCGCACTCCTCCTTTCCATTGCGCGTGTCAAATCGCATCCCGCCGCACTGGGATTCCATTTCCACACTCTGGGGGAAGGGAGTTGAAAAATGAGCAATGAACTTCCTTGGTCCCTTCTATACCACGACTCCTGTGCCATAACGACAATAGAAGGATCATCAAAATCATGACTAAATATTAAATAACTTAAGTCAATGTTTCCAGTCAGGTCAAACAGTAGGTCACTAAAGGTAGAGATCATCAAAGGTCAAATTTCGCCTATTTCGACAACTTTTGACAAATCGGCGCACAACTCAAGGTAGAATACAGCTACAACGCTGCGGAAAAAACGCATTCGACAGCTTTTTAACGCTCTTTCTGAGCAATGCTCTAAGATTTGGTCTAGGATGAACGGTGTAGCCTGCAAAGTGCAAAAAGTGTTCAAATTGAAGTTTTTAACGAAACCTTTTCATGCAATAGTGTTTGACTCAAAACCAGGCACCGATTTTACCGGCAAATTGTGATCTTCTTGTCAAGCCGCGTGGAATGAACTATAAGTTGACCTCAAAGGGTCAACTGGAAATTTTGCCTTTAGGTCAATGCCATGACCTGGTCGGAAAAGTGCTTGCTGCATATCATAACCCGCGCCGGGCCGGGGGAGGGGGTGTTTGAACACCCCACTTTTGGTTTTTCGCAGATATCTCAAAAACGGCGGCGCCTCCGCGCCGCCGTTTTTGGCACACCTGTTCGTGCATCTTTTCCGCACATGTTGTGAAAATTTCAAACCCAGGTCTCCTTAGGTCAGGTCACCAGGTCACGCCAAGTGACCTCACCTCAGAAAAAAATAAGAATGCTCGTCATAGCTACACCGACTGAACGATTGCCTTGAAACTTTCAGCGATTGATAAGAGCAACACTATCTATAAAATGTATATCTCGGAATTTTGATATCGGTGACCTAAGGTCAGGTCAATTTTGCGGCCTCTCCATTAGTCAATGGGAGGAAATTGAAAAGCGTCTGTTTTGCACGAACGCTATTCTAGACACTCTCAAACATCGAGATGTAGGTAAAATAGACACACTGAACCAGAAAATGGCAACTGTGACCCCTCGTTATGTCCCCGAGGTCATCTCAGGTCACGAACAGAATCTAACAGCTTTTCGATGATAACTTCTGATAGAGGCGTGCTAGAGCGCTGAAAACGCCTTAGATGTGTTCGGCTCGACGTTGCGGATCGACTGATATGCAACATGACCTTTTCCGGTCAGGTCATGAACTTGACCTGAGGTCAAATTTTCAAGTTGACCTTTCAAGGTCAAATTATAGTTCAGTCGACGCGTCTCGACGAGAGAAACACGATGCTGGCAAAAGTCATGTCATAGCTCTTTTAAGTCAAAAGTTATTGCCGAAAAAACGTTTTTCGTAAAAACGGCTATTTTTGGAGTTTTTGCCCTCTGGAGGCTAAACCGTCTACCTGAGGTCAAATCTGAGAACATTACCCAGAAAGGTCTGTAAAAGGGCTATCGAATGCGCTTTTTTGCGGCGCTGTAGCTCTATCGGTTCCCGAGATAGCCGTTGGCTGTTTCCAAAATGTTGAAATAGTCAACATTTTACCTTTGGTGACCTCTGGTGACCTGACCTTTGGCCTGACCCAAAAAATGACCGAAGTGTTTTCGTCCTTATTTTTGACGTTCTTTCGATTGCCGCTTACCGCGTGTCGCTACGTGGCCCAGGAGCCGAGTTAGAAGGGGGGGTGTTCAGACACCCCCCCCCCGCGGCCCGGCGCGGAATTTCAGAGCACCGGCCCGGCGCGGGGTAAGATCGGTGACGTTAGGCCGAACACATCAAATATTCTTTCGGTCTGATGAGACTGTTTCAGAGTCGGAAGGATGCTAGGAATTAGGGGGAGACATTGGTCTGGACGGGCACCCTGAGTCAATCACGTTGACAGACCACCCAACGGCCAACATATGCCATTTTTGGTCGAAAACTTAGAAATCATGACATCACTAAAACCTCGAAATCTAAAAATTTGCATTTTTTAGAACTATGTCACAATAAACTTCGCTCTGTTCTCTACAAGTGCCCAAAATTTAAGGCGCCTGCGGCGCGCCGTTTCTCAGCTATAGCGCAGCGAAAAGGGGGAGGCGTTTCACGCCCTCCCCCCCCCCCCCCACAAGCAACTCGTTAATCTAACACCTGCAAACAAGTTACATGTGTTTATTAGCGAATCCAGGCGCTGAATAGGTATTGTAAAGTTGTAAAGAATAGGTACCTAGAATACCTATTCTATTGTAAAGAATAGGTATTGTGTACGTACACAAGGCGATTGTACGTACACATAATAATTACTTGCTTCTTGGATCATGATGTTCGTTATGTAAAAAGGACAAATGCTATAGTGGTTGCATGGAACATATTCTGTACCAATGTTCACAAGTGACAGTTAGGGGGATCATAGGCGGTTCCAGGAAAAAGAACGGGAGGTCTAAAAACACGTTGAATGTCTGATTTTGAAACAAACATGACATTATTGGACGTTTTGGCAAGGGGATGATTATTTGGGTTGATGTTAGGCATATCTACAAATTGTATGTTGGCAATGCCGATATTTAGGTACCTAGTCTTGGTCACATACCTATGTACATAGAGCCACAGCCAACAATGGACGTTTCAAATAGGTACCCGTTTCACTCCTATCTTTTTTCATGGAACCACCTCTGACGCCTAAAACAAAGTAACAACCATGATACATTTAAAACGATGCATACGATGCAACAGGTCATTAGGTAGCCTAAGCCACGTGATGTTTCACAATAGACACTCTTTATGCCTCACCTCCCAACTTCGTTAATCTTGACGCCGCCTCTATGGATGACATGTAGTATTTCAATCATTTTATCACACGTGATTGTAACATAACATGACCATTGTCAACTTGCCTCAAATGAGGCAAGTTGACAATGGTTGACAAGTTGCCAGTTATACCAATAAAAGCATATTGATGATTCATTTTGTGCATCCCCATATTCAATGACCTGTACCTATGCTAACCTTGTTTAATCACCCTAACCTTTTTTGAAATGTAGATTATGTTCAGTGAAATCGAATTTCGTTTAAATTTTGAAAATCGGTCCCTTTAATCTCAAGGTATCAAGGGGGGCTATATCTATATCCCCTATATCCCCCTTTGCCCTATATCCCCTTTTGCCACGAATGGGGATAGCCAGAGGGCTGTTCACGGGCCTTATGAGCGGCAGAGCGGCACACACAGGCTCTAAGCTCCGCCCACTGCCACCCTACGTCATCCCTCTGTCACCGCACCCGGCGACCGCTGTGGTCGATCCGGACCGACCACAGGGACCGTCAACCGTACACCACAGCCTGTGACGTCATACCGTCTACCCATCCCTACCCCCACGCCCGCTCCACAGACCGCAAACACCGCACTCGGCAATTTGCGGTGCCCGTAAACAGCTCTCAGCAGCCTGTCACTATTAGGAGGGGTGCATCACCCCTTGACCGGGAAAGGGCCCTAAAACAAACACATCTTTTCCTAGTGCAAGCTCAGCTGTGTTTTGAGCGCTTCTGTATCATCCCTTTGTTGATTACCAGCCACGGGCTGGCTGGCGTCCAGCCGTGACGACCTTGAAGGGTCATTACAAACAGTGAGTTGCTGACACGGTCCGGGAGGCCCGGGCCGCAGTCGCCCAAACGCTCAGCGCCGGGCCGGTCACAAGCCGGGCCGCCGGACGGCGCCAAAACAGTCCGCCGAGAGAGCAGCCAGAAACGAGACGATGAACAAACTGCCGGAAACAGTGGTCAGCCTGCAGATGAAACAAACTGGTGGAGAGGTGCCACAGCCGGTAGCTGACGAAGCTAACAAAGGACGGGCTGTGTTGTTTGAAGATGTGCTGGAGCGATGCTGCGGCACTGGACGCTGGCAGGTGCTGCTGGTCAGCTACATGTCCATCACGTGGATCATCTTGCCGACATTTTCCATGTCGATGATGTTCATCGGCGCCACGCCGGCGTTCAAGTGCGCTGACGGGTTCGACACCAACGTCACGTTCGCGTCTCTGCCGGAGGATGTTCCCCAGTGTCACCTTGTGGGTAACGCCAGCATGTCCTGCTCGCGCTGGGTGTTCGACAAGTCCGTGTACGAGTCGACAGTGGTGACCGAGTGGAACCTGGTGTGCGGCCGCAAGCCGATGCTTTCGATGCTACAGTCTGTGCTGATGCTGGGAGGGATCGTCGGCGCGCTGCTGGGAGGACAGTTGGCAGACCGTTTCGGCCGCCGACCTGTCTTCCTGCCTGTGATGCTGCTCGCGACCGTGTGCTCCTTCTCCGCGGCGCTGGTGGGCGACTATGTCAGCTTCCTCGTGATTCGAGGCTTCACGGGCTTCGGCATGGCCTCTATGATTGCCAGCATGTTCGTGTTGGTGACAGAGTTGAGCGACTGCGAGCACCGAGCGGCACTAGCGACCCTCGTATTCCTGCCTTTCGGGTTTGGCATCATGCTGCTGGCTGCAGCGTCGTACTACATTCGCACGCGCTGGCTGCTGCAGCTGGCGTTAGCCATTCCGTGCGTACTGCTTCTGCCCAACTTCTGGCTGATGCCCGAGTCGCCGCGCTGGCTGCTGATCCAGGGTCGGTTCCCTGAGGCGCTGGAGATTCTGCGTCAGGGCGCCCGCTGGAACCGCAGAAAGATGCCGTCTGACGACGAGGTGCTCAAGATGATGTCTGATGTGCGTCAAACGCACATCGCTCGTGAAGAGGCGCTAAAAGGGGACAGCCGAGACTCTGCGCTTCAGCGTGTCCTCGCCCTGGTGCGAACGCCACTGATGCGCCGATACACTATCGCTAGCACATTCATTTATTTCGCCATGGCTGGCTCATACTTTGGCATCTCCTTTGACGTGTCGCAGCTGAGCACGAATCCTCACTTGGCCGTGGCTCTGTCTGGAGTCATGGAGATCCCCGCGTGCCTGATCTACCCACTTCTGAACCGGTTCGGTCGGCGCCGCTGCCTCATCGCCTTCCTGTTCACAACGGCCATAGCGATGTTCCTCGTCTTCGTCAAGAAGGACGCCACGCTATGGCTGGTGCTGGGCCTGGTGGGAAAGCTGAGCGTCACATCGGCGCTCAACATGTTCTCCTACGTGTCTGAGTACATGCCGACGCAGCAGCGCGGCCTGGCGATGGGTCTTCATCAGACGGCCTCGCGGATCGGCGGCGCCGTCTCGCCGTTCGTGGTGGACCTGGTGAGCGGCCTGCACGAGCTGGCGCCGTCGGCCGTGTTCGGCGCCATGGTGCTGCTCGCTGGCCTCGCGGCGCTGCTGCTGCCGGAGACGGCCGGCAAACCCATGCCCGAGACTGTGGCCGATGTGGAGGCTGCCGACCATCGCAGACGCCCCAAGAAGGGCGCCGCGTGTGAACTGACCCTCAGTGATGGCAGCGTGAAAACTGGTGTGACATCCAGCTGATATGTTAACATCCAGCTGATGTGACATCCAGCTATATATAACAATGACTTTAATGCTTGCTCGATCAACGGTCACCAGCAATAAATGCGCCAATGGTATCGTTTAACTGCGTCAGTTTTGTTTTGCCCCGTGTTCGATGTCTCTCGGACGACGAAGATTTTACGCCATCCGGCCAATCCCGTTCAAACTTCAAGGTCAGCGGTTATGGCAACGGGATTGGCCGGACGACGTAGAATCTTCGTCGTCTGAGAGACATCGAATGCGGAGTTAGTTTGCTTCAAGAGCCGTAGCGACCTTAATACTAGGCATATCGTTGCATTCGTCATGTAAAATCAAACGTCTCGTCTATTAACAAAGACATCTTCAGTGAAAGGAAACACAATTCGGGTGAGAAAAAAGCAAGCAATCAGACGGCAATAGCAAGAGCAATAGCATTATCACACATAGCATCAATTATCATGCATTTCATAAGCAAGGATCACTACATAGGTCTCACATCTCATCAAGGACCTCTGCTGTGGAGGCGCTAATTCAGAGGAGCGACCTCTTCGTTCCGCCACTTCAAGAAGGCTTCACTCTCCTCTTCAGTGAAGTAGTTTCTCCAGTCGCCAACCACCCCCTTCCTCATGAAGGTGCCTTCTTCGGTGCCGGACACCAGTCCATTGTCTTCCCACTGCCGGAAGTTGGTGTCCGGGTTCGCCTTCATCACTTCGAAGCTGGTGTTCTTCGCGATATCGTCGACATCGGCGTCGCTCAGAGAGACTCCCAGAAAGTCTGCCACCTTACGGACGACCGAGCCGCGATCCTGGTGCATCTGCTCGTACGTGAGACAGAGTACAGTGTCAGAGTGCTCCAGGTAGCCCTGCACGTGCTCCCGGTAAGGACCGTACACTATTTCGCCGCGCATGAAGTTTTCGCGGAAATCTGCGAATGAGCCGCGGTACTTATAGATATTCAACATTCTCGAGAAATGGTAAAAGGAAACGCAGACATCCCTTGCATCACGATGTACGTACAGCACCTTGGCACCGCTCGTCTTGACGCTTTCTGGTAGCATATGATAGTGCAGATGTGTCTTTATGAATCTCTGGTCCGTCATGTCGCTCAAAGACACCATATCCATGAGTTTCTCCGGGGGCTGTGAATCTAGCACAGGGAATCGGTACTCCAAGCAGGTCTTTGGTCCTTTCTCGCCAGCCGTTGACTGGTGATGGGTGACACGCCACACGACTTCCTGCAGCCAAGTGGTGCCCGACTTGGGAAAGCTGGCCACGATGACATCGGAACGCCTGCCTTGAAACTGCTCCAACGATTTTGTGATACCCCATTGGAGGTGAATGTTATTCAGTGTCGCTCCACGGAACTTGAACATGCGGTAACCGGGAGCTGTATAGTTGGGATCGATCGGCATTGGCTCCCAATCCTCTGGAATGGTAATTTCTTCCGGTGCTGTTGCTGGCTCGGACATGATTCTTCGGTACTGTTTATTATACCCAAACGTGGTCCAGCTTTGCGTTGGCGAGACAGGCTTTTCAAGTCACCTAAATCACATTCGTCTGCCACTGCTCACTTCGTGGTATGGATGGTTGATGTCTGATGCCTCGCTCCGCTCCGCGCCACACTGCGGTGAATCCAGCACTGCGTGGTGCCTCTCACGAAGGCGACGCCTCTCTCTGAGAAACTGACAGACAGCCCAGACCACCGTGTTTATGTCACTCTCAAGGTCAGTCCACAGTTGCCGTCGGCCGGCCGGTCGGCCCGTCTCGGCTAGCGGCGGCACCGCAGCACGCCACTGGCCGTCCGGAGCGGCCCGTATAAAAGGCGTGGTGCCCGGCGCCGACGACACGGCCGAAATCGCCCCTGGCAGCAGGCCGACATCCATAAAGAAGAAGAAGAAGAAGCGCCGACGACATTCGCCGTTCGAAGCCCGTCGTGTTCTCACCAGATCCGTGCAGTGCAACTCGTGGCCATGGCCGACGCTGCTACCGCCACCCCTGCTGCGGCTGCTGCCGCCCCGGCCGAGCCTCCTACCATCCCGGCAGAGGCTCCTGCTGCCCCTGCTCCTACAGCCAGACCAGGCAAGAGGGCAGTCAAGAACCAGGGCGGAGCCGCCAAGAAGGCCAAGACCGACGCTGCGGCTGCCGCAGCTCCGGCTTCCGCCGCCCCTGCCGCTGAAGCTGCTCCGGCTGAGACTCCTGCCGTGCCGGCTGAAGTATCTGACGCTCCTGCTGCGAGCCCCGCCGTCGCCCCTGCTGAAGCTCTGCGAAGGCCAAGAGGGCGCCGAGAGCTCAGGGTGGAGCTGCCAGGAAGGCCAAGACTGACACTGCTCCTGCTGCCTCTGCCCCGGCTGAGACTCCTGCTGTTCCCGCTGAGACCCCTGCTGCTCCGGTTGAGGACGTAGCCGCCCCTGCTGATGTCTCTGCTGCCCCCGCTGCCGCTCCTGCTCCCCCGGCTGAGAACTCTGCCGAGACTGCCACCGCACCTGCTGTAGCTGCAAAGGCCAAGAGAGCACCGAGGGCTCAGGGTGGAGCTGCCAGCAAGGCCCAGACTGACGCTGCTCCTGCCGCCCCTGCTGAGACTCCTGCCTCCCCTGCTGATGCTCCTGCTGCCCGGGCGACTGATGCCAAGCCGGCCAAGCGGGCTCCCAAGTCCAAGGAGGGGGCTGCCAAGAGGGTCAAGCCCGACCGTCCGCCGACCATGCAGCTGATCGTCAATGCCATCGAAGCGGACAAGGACGTCAAGGGCACCTCGGTGAGGGCCATCAAGAAGCACATCTTGGCCAACCACAGCGTGCCCTCGGCGATGCTGAAACGCATGCTGCGGAAGGCGTTCGAGGCGGGCCTGTCGGGCGGCCAAGACTGGCTCGTCCCAAGGGTCAGACCGAGGCGCGCGTCCTCTCCGGCCGCTACCGGCTCGCCACCAAGGACAAGGCCAAGCCCATCCTGAAGAAGGCTGCGGCCAAGTCGCCGGCAAAGGCTATCTCGGCCAAGCCAGTCAAGGCTCTGACGCCGTCTAAGGCTGCGGCCGCCGAGAAGGCGACGCCGGTGAAGAAAGTGACCAAGTCGCCGACCAAGGTGAAGAAGATGGCGGCGAAGAAGATCACAGCAAAGAAGCCCGTTGAAAAGAAAATGGCTGCTGGGAGGGTGGTCGAGGTGTCATGTTCCTATGTTGTTTTATGAGTGTAAAAAATCATTGAGTGTACATGTGCAATGTGCATTGTGTTCATCCATTGCGTAGACATTGGAGATATTGGAGTAACCTTTGAAGGAACCTTCGGATCGCTAGAAGTTGTAGAAGCGCGAGATTCAGCGTGAGACACGTCCAAGTCCGACGTCAAGGCATCGATCATTGTTCACATTGTCCTGCATCTTGTTTCATTTCACAGCAATGTCATCTCGTGAAGCTATTAAGAGTAAATATATATTTATTTGAAGCTACAGTTTATTGGAAATGTTTATTATGACTTGCAAGCTGCAGGTTGCGATGGGGTTATCTGTGCATGCATATTTCTTCAAAAACCCTTTTAAAAGTCGCCAACGATAAAAGTAACACATTCTTGTTCACATTATACCAGCGCAAACATTTTTAGCACAATACAATATACGGCTTGAGAGAGTATCTCGCTTATATTTAAGCCAGAACAACAAATTACATGGATAAAAGTAGTAAAATTTCTTCATCCCCTCTCTAATAACCTATTCTAGTAACGCTAAAACATATTTCCGATAAATGGTTTCTGCGCACTTTTCTTCACTGGCCTGTGGAGGCGCTAATTCAGAGGAGCGACCTCTTCGTTCCGCCACTTCAAGAAGGCTTCGCTCTCCTCTTCAGTGAAGTAGTTTCTCCAGTCGCCAACCACCCCCTTCCTCATGAAGGTGCCTTCTTCGGTGCCGGACACCAGTCCACTGTCTTCCCACTGCCGGAAGTTGGTGTCCGGGTTCGCCTTCATCACTTCGAAGCTGGTGTTCTTCACGATATCGTCGACGTCGGCGTCGCTCAGGGAGACTCCCAGGAAGTCTGCCACCTTACGGACGACCGAGCCGCGATCCTGGTGCATCTGCTCGTACGTGAGACAGAGTACAGTGTCGGAGTGCTCCAGGTAGCCCTGCACGTGCTCCCGGTAAGGACCGTGCACTATTTCGCCGCGCATGAAGTTGTCGCGGAAATCTGCGAATGAGCCGCGGTACTTGTAGATATTCAACATCCTCGAGAAATGGTAAAAGGAAACGCAGACATCCCTTGCATCACGATGTACGTACAGCACCTTGGCACCGCTCGTCTTGACGCTTTCTGGTAATATATGATAGTGCAGGTGTGTCTTTATGAATCTCTGGTCCGTCATGTCGCTCAAAGACACCATATCCATGAGTTTCTCCTGGGGCTGTGACTCTAGCACAGGGAATCGGTACTCCAAGCAGGTCTTTGGTCCTTTCTCGCCAGCCGTTGGCTGGTGATGGGTGACACGCCACACGACTTCCTGCAGCCAAGTGGTGCCCGACTTGGGAAAGCTGGCCACGATGACATCGGAACGCCTGCCTTGAAACTGCTCCAACGATTTCGTGATACCCCATTGGAGGTGAACATTATTTAGTGTCACTCCACAGTACTTTAATAAGCGGAAACCGGGAGCTGTATAGTTGGGATCGATCGGCATTGGCTCCCAATCCTCTGGAATGGTAATTTCTTCCGGTGCTGTTGCTGGCTCGGACATAATTCTGCAGTACTGTTTGTTATACCCAAACGTGGTTCAGTTTTCCGTTGGCTAGACAGGAGCTGCTGGCTTTTCAAATCACCCAGATCACATTCGTCTGCCACTGCTCACTTCGTGGTATGGATGTTTGATGCCTGATGCCTCACTCCGCTCCGCGCCACACTGCGGTGAATCCAGCACTGCGCGGCACCTCTCACGCGGGCGACGCCTCTCTCTGGGAAACTGACAGCCTGCAGACCACCGTGTTTATGTCACTCTCATTATGGGCGTAGGAACGGCTGGAACATTGTGGGTGCATGGGTGCAGAAATCCAGCCATGGCCGGTGAAGCGGGGGGGGGGGGGGGTAGGGAGCGACACCCGAGGGAAGGCTCGTTACGAGCTTTGAGGGGGGTGTATACCATGTCGAAAAGGTACCAACCGGTGCATTTGGAAGTATTAATTCCCTCGCATGTGTAGGGGGGTCGGATATGAGCCCCCCATGGTTTTTCGCAAATAACTCGCGCAAAAAACGGGCATCGCGACGAAACTTTAAGTACCCTCGATTTGATCAGTTTTACACCTACTCTGAAAATTTCATGACCCTGACCCAAAAGACCTTTGACCTGTGACCTGATTCTCAAGACCATATTCGGCCGGAATCGCGATTTGGCGTATGTTAGCTCACATTATCCGCGCGTTTCCAGTCTTTTTGTGATTGTAGACGTCCAAACATGTGAAATGATGTTCGTCCCATGCATCACGGTGGGTGTGAAGGTCACCTGAAGGTCAGGTCAGGTCATTGACCTTTGATGACCTCGGTTCACTTTTTCGAGTATTACATGTTTCTAGGGTAGTTTTTCGGGCTGATTTCGAATTTATATAGCATCTATTTGAACGTTTACGAAGTACTTTTAATGCCTTCGTAACATGCTACGACGCCGTCAGTGGTAGTTGACACCTACTATGGATAACCGGTAGGACGCCTAATGGTTGGCCTGACCTGACCTGACCCGAGCTGGCCTAAATGCATGAAGAAATCATCTGTGATCACAACTAACATGATATTCGTGATCAGCATCCCGAAAACCCCGATAACAGCTTCACTTTACGCAGTTCTAGCAGGTCCCGATTTTCCCGAATTTTGGAACATTGAACTGACCTGGAAGGTCAACCAATGACCTAGGACCTTAAAATTGTATATCATTGGCTTCCTCTCGTCACGGGCAACACCCTCGTTTTTTTCCGCGAAGCTCTAGCTCGATCAGCCCCCCCCCCTCCCTCTCCCCTTACACATTAGAAGCTGGAAAAGTAAAAGCGTAAAAGCGCCCAACTTAGCCATTTTCGAAGATATCAGGCTAAAAAAATTGACAGTGGATCATCGGCTCGGTGTGTGTTCAATCACATGCTCCATTTCCTTTTTTTTCTTCAGCACAATTGTAAGTTTTGAAGACCATCACAAAAGCAAATTCTTCGAAAGATGGATAGTGGGCAACATATCCTGAAATTGCTGTGCTGCATGGGATGATGATGATGATGATTTGGTGTTTTAGGGCGCACCAGCAACGAGGCTATATGGCGCCCATGCTGCATGGGAAGTAGTGTTGATGAGAAAAGGGGTTTTTGTTTCAGATTATTGTGGGTGCAGAATACATTGTCTGCACCCACTGGATAAATATTGTGGGTGCAGCTGCACCCTTGCACCCATGGTTCCTACGCTTATGACTCTCAAGGTCAGTCTTTCCTGTCGCTCGGGTAAGAATTCTGCTACATCACGGTCCATAGACGTAGAGCTTAACGGTTGCTTGAAGTCATCACACTTTTTAGCTTTTGAATGGTCTTTTTACATAAGTAGATACACGAGGTTTGCGTTTTTCCATTTCCAGTGATATATTTTCTCCTTTTTTGTAACTTGTAGCATAGCTTTTAGCCTAAATTTTAAGATAAACACATCAAATTAGGCAAATAACAAATGAAAGTTATATCATATTTTCATTAAAAGGTCTTCATTTTTAAGGTCATTTGTTCTATGTTGACCAGTTCTGTCATAGATGTCCCGACCCACCCCCTCCGTAGAACAGCAAATGGAGCATACCTCCCGTTGTTGAGGGCCTGAGTTCGAGTCTCTCCGGCGCCCCACACACGAGGCTCCTGACAAGTGACATGGATGGTCTGCGGTTGGTTAGAGCAGGTATCTTGGCTTAGAGCAGCCGCAGCCAGTTGAAGTCAGTTGAATGAGATGATATTTACCGGTTTTGATGGAATTGGACGCGCAATAATGCACGTCATCGGGTCACAACTCACACATAGGGGAAGCCGGGGGAAGCCCGGCATAGTAAGCTCTTTTTCATTTTTATTACATACCATACGTGCTGTATAAAATGTTGATATCCTGTTAGCTAGCTAAGTTCATTGGCCGTGTCTTCCCAAAAATTCGGTTTCGTGGAACAAGTATAAGGTTGAGAAAATCGAGTTTTAAAAAAGTGTTGATTTTTCTGGGGTAAGCCCGGCATAGGGGTAACGCCGGCCACCTCCCCAGCGCTTTACAACGAGTTGACGAAACCATTATCTGTCTTCCAAATATTAACGGAAAGTGAAATATTATGGTACTGATTAGCTCTGGACATCTTAGAGTTGATGTCACTACTGGTATTTTAGCTAGCGTCTACCACATATACAGTACAGATCGATGAAAATCGTGATGCAAAATTGACAAAAAATGTGTATTTCAAAATTCCTTAAAATTTATTTTTCTTTTTACCTTAATGCATCATATTGCATATCATTCGACTCGGCTGATGAAGAAGAACACGACACCATTTTTGAAGCTCTAGCTTCATTGTCTGCCGCGTTATCTGCAAAAACGTAGTTTGACCCTAGTTGACCTTAAGTGACATGACTGGCTTTGTCTATGATAACATGTTTATTTTCGAAATTTATCTTTGATCTAGGTGTAAACCAAACCTGCTCAGTACCTATTATCTCATGGAAAACAGTGGTTTAGTGGCATTGCTCTCGGTTGGGGGTAAGCGTGGCCACTCGCCCGGGGTTACCCCAATGTGCTAATTTTTATTTTAGAACAGCGATGTTCGAAAAAATGTCATACTTAAGCCAGCCTGCCTCGTCACCCCTCACTACAAACACTTAAACGGTCCTTACAAAACATTCGTATAAATATTAGTACTGTATGGTATCACATTAACAGTGCAACATATCTCACTTTTTAGCTAAAAACCCTTTAAATATCATTTTTGCTCTATAACTTTAACAATATGCAATTTTTGTTAGCCTTAACTTTTTTGCTGGCGTTACCTTAGCTGCGACGCTGAAAGGACAAACAGTTGAGCATTTTATTGTGAATAATTTAGCCGGAAACGGGGTGGCCGGGCTTCCCCCGCGCCCGGGCTTCCCCCGGCTTCCCCTAGGTCACCGCACCTCTCCGGATAGGATGGGTAAGTATCGTTTGACGAAACTGCAGGCTTATTCGGACAGCGTGGTGTTTACTGAATCTTCAGATCACTGCGGGATTATTCTGCACGCTCAGGGTCTACTAGTTGCGAGCCACATTGGATTTTTTGACGATACCCGTAATTGCTTTAAATGGCAAAACAACAACAACAAAAACACAGCACGTTTGCCCTTTACATGAAATCAAATTTCCCATAACATCCGATTTTTTCTTTCAATCGGTCTGAAACATCTCCAGATTTAAACAATACTTGCCTATTATTTATGTTTGACTATATTGTCTTCAAACAGCTGAAAATGTCTCAATTATATTCATATATTGAACAAAATAATACACAAAGGTTCTCGTGTAAAAGTGAAGTGCAAGACTGAGAAAACGCAAATAATTAGCAAACGTCAATAAACAGCACTTCAATGAAGCAGAAATGGAGTATTCTTTCAAATCATATTAGCATATACAACAGACAAACGTTCCATTGCTCTTGAAACAGGCATGAATGAAGGAAGCCACGTCAATCTCGTGAGAAGTGCACAATGCACATTGCATTTAATACTGAACCGTCCTGAGGGGACTTTGCTAACAGAACCGTCACTGACAGATCCAAACGCGGATGGCATTTGGGCATTTGCCCCTCCGGCAAAATAAAAAAAAAAAATTGACAAAACTTCGCCGTACCTATATCTCGCAGAGAAAGAAATGTCTGTCGGGAAAGCAAGGCATAAAGAGGCAAAATTCAATGTTTTT